AGCAATGTCCCACTTACTTAGATGTTCTCACCTCCTGGATTCTTGTTTGAAAAGCCAAAGTCAACTGGTGAAGAATGAAATGGTTGATGAAAATGTTTTACTGTAAGATGCATGGCCAGGTATGCTTCAGTGCTTTGGGCACCCAGGGCACAGCAGGAGCAGATGCGGGTAAGGAACTCATTCCAGGCGCCTTGGAGCCACAAAGATGATAGTACCAGTGCTTCCAGCCAGGTTCCCAGGACAGTCCAAGTCGTCACAGAATCACGGAACAGTTAGGGTTGGAAGGGGCCTCTGTAATTCATCTGGTCCAACCCCTCTGCTGAAGCAGGATAAGTGAGCATTCATTGTCCAGGACTGTGTCAAGGCAGCTTTTAAATATCTCCAGGAATAGAGACTCCACAACCTCTCTGGGCAACCTATTCAAGTGCTTGGTTACACTTACAGTAAAAAAAGTGTTTCCTGACTTCAGAGGCAACCTCCTGTGTTTCAGTATGTGTTCACTGCCTCTGGTCCTGTCACTGGGCACCACTGAGAAAAGCCTGACTCCATCCTCTCTGCACTTCACTTCAGGTATTTGTACATACTGATACTATCTCTCCTGAACAGATGTAGTAATACACACCACAGCAACAGAAATATTATCTCATACATAGGAATATTTATTTTTCCTTCTTAAAAATGTACAAAAAATAAAATAACTGTATTTACAGTTTATCAAACCCCTCTCCCAGTTGCAACACTATTAAGTTACATCAGCTATATTCTTAATATAAAAGCACACTATTTATACATAAAGTTTCCTTGTTTGCCAGTAAGACGGCTTGTCACAATCTTTGGCACAAACATTCTTGTTTGTATCTTGTCTCAATAGGAAATGGAAGAGCATATAAACATTTAATAAGCTTTACATTTTAAAACTCCTAAGATACTCCTTTCCAGTTCCATTTCAATCAATATACAGCATCTCGGACAGCTAGAGAGTTTAAATTTTACTAATTGTTCGAATTAATTTACAACATTTAAACAATCCATAGAATGAAAGAGGAATATATATAGGAAAGACATTTGATCTCTGAATTCCTTTGACCAAAAACTTCATGAGAGAGGACACAGAGGAAGAAAACATTCTTTTCTTCACAGTTTACATTCAGTGGTAAAAATCCTCCAAAATGTCTTGATGAGGATATCACTGTACGTCCACAAAGCTTCACTGAAAGGATGCACTTTGTTTTGGGGGTATCAGCACCTGACTGTTAAAAAAACCTAAAACTTGACAATTTTAATGGGCTCTCATAATAAAACATCAAATGGACGGAAAAAGTACCAAATCTGTAGCAGGAACCAAAATTTTAACTTAGAAGACTGTTCTCCTTTTGTACATCTCTATCAGATCTTTCAAAACACAACATCTACAGACACTGCACGACTAACTCTTCACAGGGAAAATGCTCTCAGCAGCAAGCCCCACTTAAGCTGCACTAGTTAACATGCAAGACTGCTGTCTTGAAGAAGAAAAGGAAATGAGAATTTTGTTCCTTTAAATAAACAACCACAGCAGTGCCTCAAACAGACAACAGGAGGCAAGGCAGTAGCCTCAGGCAAGGCACTGAACAGTAGCCAAATCTTACTTCCATTTAAGTCATAGTACTTGGAAGATCCAGCAATAATCAACATTTGTCATTGTTTAAGGAAAGCAACATGTATATTTTAACAATATACATGCAAGTACTATGAGACATTTGAATCAAGCAGGGCACAAAGCAGGCCACTGCTCCAGAAGTTCGCAGTACTTGTACTGTCACTTTCCCATCACTCTGACAGGATGACTTAGACCAACAAGGTGAACTCTCAGAGCTTGTAACTTGCCACAACCAGCACCCAAGGTTTAGTGCTCCTCCAGCAGCTGATGCTATAAATACAACTGAAGGAGTGCAGGGTGATATACTCTTTGTAATGTCTTAGTGCTTGTGATGCACCTGCATCTAGAGCATAGAAACAAAGCCCTTGGACCCTGGCAGATTGAGATCGTCCTTACCTAGCTCTAGTTATTATTTTAAAAAATATTCTTACCACCAATCTACTTGTCTTCCTCAATGATACTAACTTCATTGAGACTGTAAGAAGGAACTAAAGGCAGGAGTATCAGTTTTCTACTATCAGGAATTCACACACTTTAGGATGTATTTAGAATTCACACACTTTAAGATGTATTTAGAATAGCTTTCAGTTAATCTTGGAAGCAACTTTCCTTCTCTGAACAGTGGCTCACTGAAAGCTCTAAAATGGCAATGGAAAGACAGCTCCTTGAGCCCTAGTATTTCTGGATATTGAGCTTCTCACTGATCCTACATTGCTCCTTGGTGCAGGATGCTGCAGCACCCAACAGATCCCAGCTCATCTCCACCCAGGTGTAAGACAAGAATGTCCCATTAACCTGAATGCTGATGCTGCCAGGAGAGCCTGTTCTTCTCTGTGAACCCTCACTGTCTGTTCTTTATGCAGCACATTCCAACCTGGGCCAGACCCAGGTGTCACAGGCATTCCCTGTAAGAGAGCATGGACAGCAGATTTGTTGGGGGCAGAACCATGACCCAACTCCTGCATACATTTACTCCTGTGCTTCACCTGCAGCTTCCTACCAGACATCATTACCAACTGAGAGATCCCACCTAACATCCTGAGGGTTCCAAACACCAACAGAGAAATACAAGAACTAACAGCACTGTTCACCAGTCTTGTGTGCTGGACCCCGTTTCTAATGCCACCTGTCAAAACTGTCCTCTTTTTCTTTAGGAAAAAAGTATCTGGGGTAACTCAGCATAGATTTTTATCTCGGTCTGAGCCAAGTAGAAACACACTGAACCATCATAAATCACCTGTATTCCCAGGATGTCTGCTCTTGACCAGAGTAGCAAGAGCATCTTTGCTGGAGTGCATTTCTATAAAAAGTTAAGAAAATTATTACAAAACTCTGCATCAGACGGCAAAAGAGTGCATAACAAAAGAAGAGGGCAGGAGGAAGACAGAATACACACTTTGCTTTACAGACATATGTGGATTCTGGGTATGTTAGCCCTGACACTAATGGCCTGAACCTTTTATAGTTTCTAGTCCCAGAGAAACTTTGACATGTATCCAACATTTCTATTGAGAGTAGAGACTTTAATGGGTGCTATTGCTAATGAAGTCAAGAAAGTGTGCTATAGCTAGCAGGAATAGTCATGCAAAAACTCGGCCAAATCAGACTGGTCAGCTATCCCTGCTGCTTTGCTTGCATAGCGATTAGCAAATAGCTCCACACAGCTCAAAACACTAGAGAGTGAGCCCTGTTAAACTAGGCAGTGTTTCTTTATGCCACTAACCACCTAATAAAAAAAGGTTGTGTGACTAAAGTAAAAAGGTTTCAGAAGGAAAAAAAATAAACTCTAAAGGCTGCATGTAAGAAAGGACTCACACTTCTGTCTGTCACAAAGGACTTATGTACAGTGCATAGAGAATAAAATGCAGCTGAAACTCACAGGACTGCACCCTGAGTGAGGAGGTCCCTACAAAAGCCAGAGGAGCTGGACAGGAGAGCGAGAGGTACTGGGTTTGGATGTGCTAGGGACGTTCAGGCCTTGAACCCCTTTCCTTGTGATCCTAGCCTGCACAACTTTATTTCTTCACAGAATTCATGAGATGGAGTGGAATTTGATGGGATAACCAACTTGGGTTCAGACCAGCCCTTGTGAGAGAGACATGTCTCCATGCCTCAGTTGAGCGATACTTGGTCTCCACTGGCAAAATTATTCCAGTTTTGATAAAGTATTTACACAAGCCCAGGTTTATACCTCACCCAACTGTCCTAAGAATCAAAACAGAATCATTAAACGGAGATACAAGAGCAAGTACCCTTAAGAGGAAGAGTTTGAAGTCCTGTTTCCTACAGTCTAGAGGAATGATTTAATGAGCAGGCTGCTGCAGAAAGCACCTTTCCCACCACAGGCTTGAGAAAAGGCTGCTTTGGGAGCCTCCCTTCTGTACCTCTAGGCACACCAGGCAGCAGACACATGGTGCCTCTTGGATTTGGTGACAGCTGGATGGGAGACAGGTATCTACAGCTGGGACTTGGGCACCTAAGGTGGGCTCCACTGTGCCAGAGCACTCAAGATGCTGTAGCACTGTTTGCTCTAATATTTTAATATGTAACTGTGTGAGCAAGGATGGAGTATATGAGTGCAGATTAAGTTATCAGCTTCTCAGTACACACCCTTAACAGATTGCAGCAATTTAGTCCTCTAGAAAAGATTCTGTTAAACCCTAAACCCAATACATACAAAGACATAGTGGCAGTAAACATGCCCACATACAGTAGTTAAAATATATTATTGCATATTATAAACATTATATACAAGGTTAAAATGGTTTCTTTACCATTTAATTACAAGTGACATTTTTAGCTGAATGCCTTACTTACAAGTCCTCATTGCTACGTGCTGAGAACTACCAGAGGTATTTGGCAAGACTATACACTATATAGAGATACGGATCAGTCTGAGCAAGTGAACTGTCAGCCACTTTCCCCATCTTTAGCACTGCAACAGCTTTGTAGCACTGACGGAGACAACTATTGGTAAAGTAATTTATACCAGATTTCTGAAACTAGACCAGCATGATTCCTTAACATGTTTTAGAATGAGCCTATCCACACTCAAGTATGGATTAAAATGCTGTGTTTCACATTTGCAGTGGGTCATCTGGTTACAAATCTGGGGGCTGGTAACTGCTTGTACACTAGAGAGTGGGGAACAATAAATAAGGGACCAGGTTAACGTGAGTGGCCTTGTGCTTAACAAACCCAAGTCTATTTGCAGTGGGTGCACATGTGCAGAATGGACAGTATTTTAAAAGCAGTTTTGTAACAGTTTCTCTGATCAACATCTGTTAAGTTCCTGGGAAATCTTCTGCTTTCCAAGAAGGATGAAATGCTGTGGTTCCTTACAAAAAGGCTCTGCCTGAGGCTAGATCTCTGTCAGTGTGATCTTGAAGCCTTCGACCATGCTCTCCATGTGCAGGATGAACGTGTCCTCGTTGGAGTAGTGCTCAATAATGTTGTCATCCATGTTTACCAGGATACTAGTGACAAAGGCAAAAATCAATGTTTTTACATACCGGGACACTGGAAGAGAAAGCCACGCACTCCGCCACATATGCTCGCTTCTCTACAACACATAAACAGACTCCAGTACATGCCAGTACAGAGTCACTAGTGGGAATCATCATCAAGATCTGCCCCATAGTCCCTTACAGTCTTTGGATTAGAGGCTACTCCTTGCCAAAGTAGCTGTGGTAAGAAACATGCCAGTGCTGAGATGCTAACACACTTCAGCTGCCTACAAGATGAGCTGAAGTACAGATTCCTGGCAGGCCAAGCTAGCTGGTGCTTCCCATGCCTGGTGTTGGCTCCCCCAGGGAGTGCTACTCCATGCTACTTCTCATATATGCCACTACACAGGGAAGTAGTGTAATTTGTACTTTGCACACAGCTCACAGACCCAGAACTCAGCTTGGATGTGAGAATATCGACAACAACTATTAGAAGTGTATATGAGTGTTTTCCTCGCTCTTTACCTTAAAGTGTTTCTTCTAACAATAACCTGGAAATGGTATTAGAAAGAAGCAAAACATGAGAAATTTCACCTGTCTTCTCAAAATAATAATAAGACACAATAATGCCCTAAGCTAGAGTTACAGCTCTCTAATGAAAATAAATGATTGGTTTAAAATTATATCACTACAATATTGTGGTTAAATAGAACTGAAAAAAAAAAGTAAAAGTGGAAAGATTTAGATGCATGGCAAGGAGCAGTAGCCTAGCTATTTTAAAAGCTCAGCTGTGATATTAATGTCTAAATTTACTCAGCCGAAGCCCCTGCAGCAAACATTGTCTGCCTGTCTTTCAGATTTGGACAGTGGCCTACATCTTTGTAAGACTGCAGGGAAACTCCACACTGCACTCACAGCAAAGGCAGCATCTCCCACACTGGCCCTCCATCATGTTAATAAGCATATTGTGGGCAAACTCCTTCTTCACAGTATATTTACAAACACTCCTCAGACATAGGCTGGAGGTCCATGTTTTCTCCTCTGCCCTCTCTTACCATCTCCATGGACATGAAGATTTCAAGTGCATGGGCACATCTACTCAAAGTGTTTATACTGCCCAGCATCATGAGGCCCTGAGCATAACTGGGATCTCTGAGTACTCCTAAAGGATCCTGCAATCGACCTTTAGTTAGTTAACTAACTTACCCCTTTTTGCTCTTCTTATAAAGTTTTGCAATCTTTTCAACTGGCAGCCCATATTTCTCAGAGATCTGAAAACAAAAAAAAATAAAAGAAATATCATTAAAGACTAATGAGAAATATAACTATCACCTCTTCCCTTACATAAGGCATTAAAATCTCTGCAAACTTTGTGAGGACAGCTATGCAGAAAAGTCACTCACAACCATACTATGGTTGCATATAAGGACGACTCGGGAAGGAATAACCCTGAACAGCTTGATCAAAACCCACAACTGTTTCCACCCAGAAACTTGAAGACCATAGTTTTTTTAGGATGTGAGTCATCCAAACTGCCCCAGCATCTCATACTGCTCTGCTAAAGGAGTCAACGCTCTTTCCAGCTTCAGATTCCACAACAGAATTTCAATCTGATCTTTCTGTTGTTTCTTAATCTGATTTTCTGGGCTCATGGAACCAAAGGCTTCTTCCACCAGGCAGAAGGCAGATGTATGACAACCCAGCAAGAACTGATGGATCAACAAAAACATGCGCATTTCTCTTTCTCAAAGATATTTCAAGATTTGTTAAGCTAACAGGACTCTCCATGGTGGTACTTTTGACTGAACAGTATCTTCAAGGTACTTTTTATTGTGGAAGGGCCATCAACATGCTACACAAGGGATTAAGAAGCTTCTGTATTGTTGGGGAGGTGACTCAGTCTAGTTACTACAGTGGCAAAATGAGAATGCTTTGGCTCACAAAACATCATCTGAGTGTACAGATAACGAGATGTTACAGAGAACTGTGTTAACAAGGAAAAAGGCTTTGTAAAATAAACCCCTTGCCAGCTGCCCAGATGATAAAAGCAGAAAATACAGGAAAACTTTAGAAAGAAGAACAACTTAGATGACAAATTACCAATGCCAACAAGTACTTCACTGGGATGGTTTGGCATTGCTTTGCAGCAATGTATTAGTAACTTTTTTGGATGTCCACTCTGCAGTGAGTCTGTGGTGTGCTCATGGAGATGGCGTGCCTGAGCTCTCCACCTAAGCCATGTTTTCTTTCCAAATTATGACTCTTTGAGGGAACAAGTATCACAGCTCACACTTTAGAAATGGATTATCCCAAAAAGCAAAGTAATTACAGAAAAATTACTTTTTTGTCAGTGATTAACATTTTGTGGTACTTTACTGCCAAGCAAAGTTTCCAGCTCTTCCCAGGTGAAATGAAGTTGCAGCTAAATAGCTGACTACTCATCCTTTGCGTTAGAGAATCGAAATGCACAATTAAAAATCCATTTAAAGACTGCCAAACATCAGTCACTGTAAAATCCTTTCTTTGTGTTTGCATTCAGACTTACATCAAGAAAAGGTGGTATTTTAGAGAAGTAAATTAAAGCAATTATCATGAAGTAGAAAATGGAAAGCAAGCAACGGACAAACTCAGCATCGAGGAAAGAATCAAACAGTCACAGGGTGAGCCCCAGGCACAACTCCCTTCCAGAGAGCCAAGATTCTCTGAGAAAATTAATTAGCCTGTACTTGCCTCCATCACCTATAATTGTATAACTGTCATCTAATCCACGATACAATTTTGTGATTAAAAAGTACAACATAACTCCAAGATCCGAAGAACCAATAAAACTTCTTTTACACTGCAAACACTCCCCTCTGATGGTGTTAGCGTACATCTGTGGCTAAGAGAAAGGGACTAACTGATAAGGTACACTAGACCCATCTACTCCCTAAGCTTTCCACCTAGCAGAGAACAAAGTTCAAACTAAATTTGAGTGGTATTTGCTACTTCAGTTTTACTTGCACCAGCATGTTTCATTGCCCTTTTGGACATGGTGTTGGAGATACTGACAGTAGTCCTGGTTCTGTGTTCTCACCTGCCTGGAGAGAGGCCTAATTCTGCATCAAGGCTGTGCAAGCTCCCATGCTGCACAGTCACACTGTCCCTGACGTGGGGAGTGGTCCACTTTGCACAATTATGAGAAGAAGAGCTTCACCCTACTTGTCTTGTATCTCACACAAGCATCCCCACTACTGAACTACAAAACAAATCTTTCCCACTCTGAGCTCCACGTAGCCTATGGAAAAGCTATGTAACCACATTACTCCTTCTTATCCTCTGGCTTTGCTTACCATGAATGGAGTGATTTTGTTGTACCCCTAAATTGACGCTTTCATATAAAGCAATAATAAAAATGGCTCTGTTTCATTAGATTGTTGAAAAAATCCTCTGTAACAGGCATCATAGAAAAACTGCCACCTGAAACTGCAGAAAATGTCACAAGTGTGTGAACATGAGGAAACTATTTATCTTCCTTTCTGGGTTGTTAACTCTGAAATCTAGTGATATTGTAAAGATCAGCACTTGAAGACGCTTTTCACTGACTCCAGGCAAATAAACAAGCAGGCAAAACATTCCTGTGCCAAGGAGGTTTAATAGCAGCTAATATACAGCATTCTGCACATTCCAGCATAAATCTTCCCTAGGATATTTGGGATATCTAACACTCATGCATTCCAAATGTTGCTCAAAGCAGTTTGGGACTCTGGGACATCGCTTCCTACATGAACTATGAGAGGCTGGGCTGAGAAAGCCTTGCCTGTCACACTGCCTATGACAGGTGTAGGATTTATATAACATGCAGGGATTAGTGAGCTTTGCGAAAGACTTCCAGCTGACTGAATAAGCACATTTCTCAGGAACCCCCAAGGATTTGACCAATTATACCAAAAAGCAAACTGTAGAAGCAAGGCTCAAAGTGGGGGTAAGGGAGAGCCTCTTCCTCACAGACTCAGAAAACAAGACTCCAGCACAAATGTGCTAAATCCTGCTGCAGAATCTGAGAAAGCAGAGCCAGCATCTGCTACGGTTTCTCACTTAACACCCTGTTCTCAGGGTGTTTGTTGCCAACGAAAGCAGAACACCACTACTGCCAACTTCCACACAAAACAGGATTTCTCACCTGACCCCAAGCATGTTACATTACATTTTAATGACATCTTTATTTGGACAAATATCTTTCCTTATCATGTCCGTTGCTCATTTGCCAAGCTTCTAGGCAGAGGATTCTTTCTTTCCCTTGGGATGCTCAGAGCAGTGTAACAGCCTTCAGACTGGAACTGAAAAAGATGTCTCTTTGGGCTGAGGTCCCTTGGCATGGCAAGTTTGCACAGTCTGATTGCACAAGTCCAGCAGAAATGCTCTCTGCTGGAGTCAGGAAGACAGAAAGGGCAACATCTGGGCTGGTTGAGGCACACAGGAAAACATGCTTGCCAACTTATTTCAATGAAAACAAATTTGAATTGAATATTGAAAATAGAAAATAGAACTGGTCTGGTCTGTTGCCCTACACTGGTTGGAATATCACATATAGAGACATGTACCTAATAAACTTCTGTCTAAGCTACCTTTACTGAACTCATCTGTTAGTTTTTAATTACAGAAAGACTGTGGGACATTTTTGGATTTCCCAAATTTGTCTACCTTCCCTAATTTGAATAAATATGTGATTCTGCACAAGTTATCCTGACTTTGGATCAGGCTGAAAGCAGGATTTAGAGGTGGTCAGTCACCACACATGTGATATTCTGTGATGGAAAACTGTTTTGCTATTTTCTGCTGATCAAGACTGACTAGTGAAAACCAAACACTTGCATCACTTCCTGAGATGTACTGTATTTCTGAAACTTGACACCTCTAGATATTTGCCAAAAGGAAGAAATCTGAGAAGGAATCAAGTATTCATTTGGAATGGGGATATATGTGAGAATAAAATAAACACAGGATCTGAGAAAACAATATCATTAATAACAGAAAATTAGGAGAAAGCCACAGACCAGGAATAGTGACTAACATAAGGAAAAAAAAATAAAATCCATAAACAGAGAAGAAGGCTATGATTCAGGATCACTGGAGCTCTCTTTCAGATCTGGAGCCCTGTACTGTTCAGAGGCTCAGTTTTTGAGTTCTTAGTACTGAGTTTCAGAATTGAGCATTGAGAATGTGCACAATTACAAAATGACATGATTTGCTGAAATGACTGTAGAGAGAGTATCTAAGAATATGCAGTTTGACAGCTCTCTGGCATTGGTTTATCCACAATATCCTACCAAAGAGAATTAAAATTTTCTGAATGTGTTTCTTCCAGTGAACTGGGACACTTTACAACAGATTAGATTTCCCTGGTGCCAAAACACGCCAATGAGTCAGCAGCTGTGCTGACTGAGGTACGCAGAAACCTTTCCTGCTTCTGCATCAGTTTTGTTTTTGTTACACAGTGGCTGGAGAACAGGCATGGAGAAGCACAGACTCCTGGAGATAAAATATTCATGCAAGCTTGAAAGGCTATAGAAGGATTATAACATACTTTTAACTTCCATACAAAGACAAGATGAAATCGTGTTACAGCTTACTATGAATCAGACTGCAGCCTCTTCAAGCAAAGCCTGGTTTTTGTTACACATGTGCTCTGCCTAACAACTGAGCTAACAAACAGTACTGGTAAAAGCAAGTTAGGACATCCTTAGCATGCTGTTGACTCTCCTCAGAGATACTCTGATCTGAAGAGGTGCTTTAAACAACTTCACTAACCCACAAATCTTCTTCTTCCTTCTGCTGGCCAAATATTGACCAAATTATTCAATCTTTACTGCATTAGAAATGTTTGGTACATGCAACAAGACACTGTGACAGTTTTAAGAGAGTATGAATATACACACTTCTAGCACTTGGCTGAGCTCTCTAGGGACATCCATTCCCATCTTCTCCGCTACACGTAACCAAGGCTGGAAATCAACTCAGCATCCCACATGTCAGTCTCAAATTAGTTTCCCCACTGAAGCAGTGAGACACATGGTTACTTAACTCATCTCTCACCAAATTTCATATATCTACTAGCCATCAGCTCATTTAAAAAGGATTAAATAGGGAAATAGCAACTCTAATAATGACAGTTTAGGGATAACAAGCAAATAGTTAAGTCAAAGAAGCAGCAAAGAGGCAGGTGGTAGGTAGGTCACTCTGTCAGTGAGGGCTAAAGAAGGAATTTGAGACGAGGTATGAATGACAAGTCTGCATTGGCTCAGCACCTGCCTCTTGCATGCTGGAAGAGCAATTGTACAAAAGCCATGTGAAATTCACACAGAAAAGGTTCATCCTTGGGCCTCTTCTTGAAAAGATGGCTGTGAACATACTAATGGGCATTATGAGAAAAGATTCAACAGGCTCTGAGCCATCAATTAAGAAAGAAGCATTTCAGAATATGAAGTCTGCACCTCTCTGCTTCCCTGACACTGGTTAATTACTGCAACTCCTCAAGGCTCATGTCTCCAATAACCAGCTCTGTGACACTTTAATCCCAGCAACCTGATGACAACACTGAATTCAGAATATGCCAGCATTTCAGAGATGTGCTCCAGAAAGCCTTTATGAAATGCTTTAAAGGTACTTGAGAACATCTTTATGTTATGATTAATATCAATAATACAATGAAAGCCTGAAGATTTTCTTGCCAAGAAAGACAAACAATGTGAGGACATCGGATACTTACAGCTTCCATTAGCCCCTTTACTGTGGGTGATTTCAGCATCAAAGCATCAAACACCTCATCTGTCTCCTTCCTCACATACAAAAGCACTGAAATAAAAAAAAAAAAAAGTCAAACTTGGAGCAGGTTCAGTCAATTGCACAGATGAAACACCCCATGCTGAGTAGAAAAACAAATATTAATCCATGACAGATAAAATGAAGCACTGAAGATGGTTTGCACTTAAAAAAATGTACTTTCAATATCATCAGTGATCTAAACATGGACAACACATCATAGTTGCTTTGAGAACACAGTAACAAAAATTCAGCTACTTTAACATAATGTGAGGACTCTGCATCTTCCAGAATCTAAATCTCCATTTACAGCAAGAAACTAAAAAGCACTTGGGTCCTGCCTCTCAGTCACAGGACAAAACACACAAGCTAGGTCTTCCTAAAAGCTGTGTCTTGGCTTGTACCTCTCCAGGCTTCATCTAAAGGGCTGGGAAAGGACGTTCAAAAAAAGGCAAGTCTGGTTTGTCTTAAGCTATGCCTTTGAAAACAAAACTAATGAAAAAAGAAAGAAATAGTTCTATCTGACGTGACCATGTGGATGACTACAAATGACCTGACCAGTCTGAAAATAAACACTGGGAAAAGGAGTTCAAAGTCATTTGAGACTTTACAGAGGAGACATTCATGAGCATGGTTGGCAGGCAGGCATTTTCAGGTACCCAAATGCCATTTCTGTTACTCTTCCTCCCTCAGATGTCCAGCCGGGTCTCAGTCATTCACAGGTGCCCTGCCTTCTCTAGCTCTTGTTTTTTCCTGACTAGTACAGGTAAAAGGAGGAAACTTGCTGCTACATAGCAAAAGCAAAGCAGACTGCTATAAGGCAAATAAGCATAAACACTAGAAAAGTGTTCTAGGCATAATCATACGTGACCAATAAGTAGCAGGTTAAATAAGATGTTCTGCACTTTATTTTGTTTTCTAAATAATACCTTTTCAAATAGCAGTGCTGAACATGAGGTGCAAACACATATGCAGTGTCAGGTTTTTTGTTTCGTTGGGTTTGATTTTTTTTTTTTTTTTTTTGGTAGACATCTTTTGAAAGTGCAAATTCTTGTAGTCCAAAAGATATCTTAATCAGGTAACTCAACAGATGATGTGCATATGAACCAACAGAGATTTTTCATAGAGAAGCAAGAGTTTTGAAGCTAATTCTAAGGTAAAGACTAGCAGGGTGGACTCAAGCCCATTTGCAGAGACTTGTAGCTTCTTTGCCCAGGTTTTGAAATGACTGGAGAAAGTCATTGTAAAGGAACAAAAAAACCCCACATGACGAGTTAAATTTTACTGGGTCTGATATGTTTATTTGCATGAGCAAGCACTCACTCAAAGTGCTAATTTTACCAGTACTAACACTCATATTAATTTAGTAACTGTTTCCTTGTGACTAGAAGGCTGTCCTGTAATTCCTAGCTTTACAAACATCTTGGCCTCTGTCAGCCTTAACAATTGCAAACATATCTGAAAGGGGCAAAAAAAATCACTTGGTCCAAGGTTCAAGTTGGGGACAATACACAATCCCAGTGCTGAGCTTTAAATCCTCTGTTGTGCTTGGTGTGCCAGGAAACATTACGCTGAATGAAGGATCCATTACAAGGATAAGGGGGAACTTGAATCACTATTATACACGCAGAGAGCCAGGATTAGTAAACATATGGGGGCTTGTTGTTTTTTTCTGTCCCCTGATAGGTGTGAAAATCCTGGCTTTGATTCACTAGAGCACTCTTTCCTAAATGACTTCCAACGGCAGTGATGCCTAAGGAAGCCCCTGTCTCATCCCCACCCTTTCACTCTGTTACTCTGGTCCATCTCAGTGAATGTTCCTGGATGAGGAACTCTTTCAAAAAGCAGGTGTGAGTGGAAAAAAACAACCCTTTTTTTGAGCTGTTCTTCAAACAGATCAGATCCCTGCTTCAGAGTACAATGCAGCCCCACAAGCCTCCATGTCAGCAGAGCTGTGAAGAGGTGGCCAGGTGGCCTGGAGCAGGAGGCACAGCCAAGGCAGAGGGAGAGGGGCTGCAAGGACTGCAGTGGACTTATCAGTACCACTGCCACTGAATGCCTGTGACCATGTAACACAAGCCATACTTATGCCCTCTGATCCTACTGTCCCCATGTTCACGGCATCTAGATGGGTTCGCTTTAATAGTACAGATTACAATATTAGGAGGGGGGGGGGGGGTAGAAATCTTGTACCAGGTAATGAGCTGGTTTTGACTGAGAGTTAAAAGATAAATTCAAAGTTGCCGGACCTTTACACTACCTGGCCTTAGTTCTTACCGTTCTTACCAGCACTGAAACCTGCTGTAGTCCCTAATACTCTTCAGATGTTTAAAAGAATTGCAGAAGATTGGGAGTGATAAATTTATCTTTAGTTACTTAAGAAATAGCCCCGATAGACCAAACTGCAGAGTGGCAAACAGCCTTTGCTGAAGGCAAGCCATGTTGTTGCACCTGGGAGATTTTTGGAGGCCAGGCCACCAAACAGAGGATTATGTGCAAATGCAGAAGAACAATGTTAGATACCTCTTTTAAAAGCATTAACAACAACAGACGTGTGGCAAAAATGAAACTAAAGACACAACGGGACAGTAAGACTTGGGACATTAGGAAGGTCTGAGCCCAGGCACTATCAATGCCATGACTAACACCCTATGAACAATGACTAATGACTACAGTCTCTGTAAAGTGGACTCTGGATGGAGATGTGGTACATCTTAGTCAAGGACAGTAGGGCTGGTAGCTGTGACCTGACTTTCTCTTATTTGGACCTTTCACTATTGCCCAGGCACAAAAGCCCTTGGTAACAAGTGTGAATGCTGTCCTTCACAGGGATGGTTCACAAAACTCCAATTGTTATGAATCAAAAATGTTTCAGTGTAGTTTAACATGACTTTCCTGAGAGAAAAAGGGTAACAAAAATACAACTTCTTTAAGCTGAAAACTACAGGACTGGAAATCAACCTGATCTTAACTCAGCTGCTGGATTTATAATTAACAGGAAACTCCCTATGAAATCTGAAAGGGAAAGTGATTTGAGAACTCAAAACAGGGAAGGACCACAAGTCCAGCCAAGTACCTAGCTACATTTCACATTTGGTACAGATTAACATACTTCACATTTCTGTGTTGGTCACTTGTACCTCTCTTAGAGGTCAAGGAGATGAAAGAACAATCCACAAAGATCCAGCAACCTGAGTGACAATATGAATCTTGTTTTACTGTAGTTTGCAAACCCCTTCTAATCTGTTCTCTTGAAGGCTGCCCCTTAATACCTTTCCTTCTGCTGGACAGTATTACAATTAGTTCCATCAGGCAGAGGTGAGTTACACAGTCACTTCAGTTCTTCAGCTGAGCTTGGACCCCTCACTAGCTGCTACTTGCACTACTCTGCTAATGAGACACCTTGGGATTTCATTGCTTTTAATGTATATTTTCACGTATCAGACCTACTCTCTCTCAAATGTTACACCAGTGCCCCATCTATACCTGCTCTCTAGGGCTTGTTGATTCTGCTGTACCAGATCAATCTGGGAGAAAAGAAGCTTCTAAACATTTTAATACTCAGTGACTCCTGTGGTAAAGACAGCATTGGGAAAGGGGCAGATTCAGCTAAACTCCATCAGCACAATCCCAGATGCAGGGTTCCGGATGGCAGGAAGTTCACCAGAGCAAAGGCCACACTGGAAAACGCTTGGCCTCCAGCCAGCATAGTCCAAGTTGCAAGAAACACTGAACAGGAAGGGGATGTGAAGAGAGCATTCTCCAGCTCCTCTGGTTCCATGCCTCTCCTGGATTTAATTAGTTAACATAGTTTTGCCACCAGTTAAATTTTTTTTTTCTTTCTAATCTTACCCTTGAAATGCTTGCAAGTCCTGGACAACATTAAAACAACTAACCACAGCAAAGGACAGAAATAATCAAAGCAAACCAATACCTCCTTGCAGGCAACTTCCCAGGCTTCCAGCTGGGAAACCCAGGTGAAATTTTAGGAAATGACAGTTCTTTATGTAGCCCTCATGACTGTCCTCTTCTGCTTGACAGAGCCCTGATAATGTGAATTTGGCCAAGGTTTGGGTCAACCAGGGGCAAGTCTATGGTCAGTGCTGACCTCAGAGGTCAGCATAAGTAATTTAAGATTTAATTAAAAGAAGAATATGTTCACATTTATTCCAAGGAGATATCAGTCTCCATCCTATAATCTTCCCTTGGTTCAAGCACACCACCCTAACCAACACAGAAACTTGGCAAATGCAGGCTCATGGGAAGTTATTTCTACAAAGCTCAAAGGAGTCTTACAAATGGTCAATCTAAGAACAGCTGAGCTCACTTCTGTGCCTTGTTGATTTGTTGTCTCACAAACTGATGGGTGAACTTCAAAATAGTTGCAAGTTTGAGTCATGTAGGTTGGTTAAAGCCCTGGAGTCTCCAATAAACTTGTATGACAGAACTCATGAGGCTGAAGGAATGGCAGATATCCTCCAGGATGTTTAACTGTGACAGTGTAGGAAGCTACCACCAATAGCACCGCACTGGAAGTGACTGTACACACAGCTGATCTGGTGAACAAACCCACCCTCAGTGCAAAGTTTAACAGCTCTACATAAACCACTGCTTCAGTGTTATCCAACTTAAGCTTCACTTGTAGCAGACTCGAAAACAGGAGGTGGTAGAGTATATGAAATGCAACTGTAATAATATTCACTCAGGCAGTAAAAAAATTTAAGGGAAATAAATTCTTAAAAATGCTGTTAGGTCTGCTGGAAGATGTCCCTCCATGCCTTATATTTCTAATTGGGTAGGAATTTTCTAAGACTTTATTCCAGCTAATCTAAGTCTGCAGTCAGCAGGAGCTTGCCTGTTAAGGTCTCTGTATTTGACCTAGTGCATCTTGCATATTTGCTTGTGATCTCAGCCAGAACAGAAAAGATGAGCAAAAGCTAAAAATAGACAACCACAGATTTGCTACTGGAACATTTATGAACTATGTAGCTTGGCCAAGGATCAAGAAACTTTCCAGCTTTTTTATATTTTATATACACTTGTGCCCTGATCCCTTCTTGAGAGAGCACAGTCCTTTTTTTTTTTTTTAATTATCATTTTTTCTGCTTTTAAGTCATTTCTAGTATGTTAAAATCTCTTCTCCCATCTACCTACATTCGCACTAGCATTCAGCAATTGTCTTGATCCAAGCCACACCTGCCCCTCCAAGCTTGAGGGGTCGAATTCCACAAAATTATTTTTAACTGCCTATCGACTGTTACCTCTTTTCAGGCCTTCTTCTTTCACTTGTTTCAACGGGGATGGACCAAATTCCTCCTCCACAGGCCGGAACATCCTTTTGACCAGGACACTGCTACTAGAATACACAAAACAGGAACCATGTCACAGTAAAACTGTGCTCCCAGAAGAAGAGGAGACAACAGCAGCAGTCATGACTCACTCTGTACTCTGGCATAAACACCCACTAGCTGCTCAAGTAGCACCAAAACAGAAACTGCAAGGATTTAGCTTTTGATGCTTATCTGAACTATCCAGCCCTCTTTATTACCCAGACTGACTGGCTGGGACAGGTGACAGGAAAATATGTTCCAATGTTACTCACTAATCTGAAAACCCCAAAGGCCCTTAAATATTGAGGGAAGGGGGGTAGGGAGGAAGAAACAGTTAAGTAAGGAACCAAACCCACAATTGTACATTGATTTACCTCCTCTTCGGGGTAAAGGAGATAGCCTAAGGAAACACTAGCGTTATTTCTAAAATCCAAGACCATACTAGCCAGCAAATTCAAAAGGAATAACATGCTGGGCCAGATCCAACCCAAAGCTGCAACATGCTCCATCAGGGGAGCTGAGGGTTGAAGGAGCAACAGCTGCCCCCTCTGCTTGTCATAGCTCTGGCAGGACTTGGAGTCTTGGAAGAGAGAACTGAAGCTAATGTGCTTGGTGCAATAAACCCCTTTGTTTCTCAAATTACACCGTAAGCCTTGTGAAGAATATTAGTTTCATAAAAGAAACAAAAAGGGTCTCATGTTTTCAAGTCAATGTCGGCAGCAGGTTCTTGGCCGCACCCTATGACAGACCACTTTTTGCAGGTTTATGGGATTGCAGTTGTCTTACTCCAAACTCTCAGATTTAACGGTGCTCACTTGGGATTTAGGCAACTTAGAAAAGTTGCGCACACTGTGGGCTGAACTTCAGCCACCCATATTAAAGCCCTTAATCTATGGCACCTCTTAACTATTAGAGCGACTTTCATCAATTCTTCCAGCCCCTTCAAAGTCAGATAGGGGGTGCTCCCATTTCCAACCTTTTCCCATTCCAGGATCTCCCATTCTCCTTCTGCTGTTCTCTTCTGGCACTTGGCCATTCTCTCTGCAGTTCCTGTATTTGTCACATACACATGTGTGCTGCTAAACAGCCTTCAGGAAGACTGCAGTGAAGTTCAGTGCCTAATCAAAAGATTCCTGGTTTTTAAACTATTTGAGAACCCTTGTGCATATATAAAAGGCATTTCATTATCAAATATATTGTCCTGTCCTGGCATTGAACCTTATGGTCCTTTAAACTGTTTTACTTGGAAATGTATTAAAAAACAGATATAAAAACCAGCCAGTTCACATGAAGGAAAAGAAAGCTACACCGTAAAATAAACCTCCCCCTACCAGTTCTACATATTACTCACCCTCCATAAGCAATGGGAGAACATGAGGGAAGGGGGAGAAAAGGCATCAGTTTTATCTGGTTTTATGTTTTGTGTCTTCTTTCTATGAGTTTGAACTGCTAACTGCAAAGCTTGTGAAACAATAAATTTCTTACCCTTCTCTCTCATCATCTGTATTATAGTAAACCTAGAAGGACAGAAATAAAACCCAACAATTATTCCCAAAACTCAGACATTTGCTTAAGAGAATAACTTCAAAAGGCAGAAAAGACAAGTAGTTTGCAGTTTTTCATATGTTAAAAATCCTTTTCCTTCTGTGAAACAAAAACATCTCCAACTGTGATATGGGAAAAGGGTGGCTTAGAGAAACTGCTGTTGAATATTATCTAGTGGAAATATATCAAAGTATTTTTGAAAGGCATTGTCCTCTCCCCTGGTTCATATAATTTTCCCAATTAATTTACAATCCTCTAAATCAGATCACTACTCACCTAAATTAACCCTAATACCACAACACTCACAAACTTTTCTCTGTCTTTAATAGTATCTGAAAATCTAATAAAACTGTAGAGAGAAACATTAAACTACAGGTCTACTGGATATACAATTACTAATGATACAGCTGATCATTTTTTTGCACAGGCTATGAGCAGAAGCCCAAATCCAGATCACTGTTTTGTGTAAATCCATACAGCTCACAGTGGGACCAAATTTTCAACAGCAGCAAACGCTGCTAACAATAGCAGCGGAGGTATAAAATCACAGTCTGCTGTCAAAGGCTTTACGGAACAGTCAGCCAAATTCCTTGCAATGTGCCAGCACTGCGGGACTGCACCAACAAGTGTGCCAGCCCTCCAGCTACTGAGCTACTGAAGGCAGGGCACCAGAGCTCTGTGCTCTGCTGGGGCAGAGCAAGGCATCTCAGGTGGGTTTCCAGCACTTTTGCTGGCAAGACTCAGAGAACACTTGGCTCTCACTGAGAGCTTTTGCTTCTGAGCCTGCACAATGAAAATAGCTCAGGTGTGTGTGTGTGCAAAGCCAAGGTCTGTAACTCATTCTATGAGTTACAGCAATAAAAGACATGGCTGAACATTGCCTGAGAGCTAGGAAACCAGGGTATCTTCCAGTTAGTTTAGAAAATTATTTACAGGATTACATATACTAAAGAATGCTTCCACCTTCTCCTGTTTTGAGACAAATTCACATTCTGGTTTGAAAGCCATGAGGACAGAAGGTACCCAGTACTGATATGTGAGTGGGCGTCTTTCCAATTTTGGAGAGTCAGTGACAGCTGCGACTGCAATGTCTGCGCTCTTTGTGCTTCGCTCTACCACAATTCTGCTTTAAAATAACTGACAATTCCAACAGTGTCATTTAATCTTCATCATCTTAATATTTAAACACATGCATAAAGGTCTCATTTACTCTCTGAGATGTTAATAAATAACAGGTTCACAGTAAAAAAATTGTCAGAGCTGACCCTCCAATTCAGGTTTGCAATGTCCCAGCAAGCGATAAAGTAGAAAAAAGCCAAGTCAGCAAAGACTCCCTAATGTTTACTGATGATGGTAATTGGCAATACTGAATATTAACATTAGCATGACAGAGTTTTACTTGGTAGACTGAAAATATTTTTTCCAAGGAATTTTCAGTTCTCTAGGTAATGACAACAGAAAATGGACAGTGGTGTTCAGTAACCCTGCTCTTGACCTCTCTATTCATGTAAGAGCTTGGTCTTCGTCTTCAGTTGTGACAGGGAGGGGGGTCTCTGCTACCACAAGGTGGCACTTCACTTCATCTAGCCAAAGAGCACATGCAAAATCAGACTTTGTTTCAGTCACAAATCAACCTATTTCTTGACTATTTGTTCCATTCTTTCTTCCCAGCAAAAGAATAACAAAACCATAACAAATACAAACTAGTCAGTTGTCAGTGAAGTATAAACTCCTTCTTCACACCCAGAACTTGGAAAGGTACTTATCCTTTATAAACTCTTGTATATGTGACTCACCAAGAGTTGTGTTTATAAAAACAAGAGCTGAAACAAGCACCCCTAGGAACAATGATTTTATTTTCCTAAAATCTGCCCTAGAGTAGAGGCAGACAGATGGCAAGTGGGCACCAGCTCATCTCATTATAATTTCCTACCTGTCCAGTTCTTTGTAGGTTTCCAAAGTGAACATCCGGTATGAAGAGAACTGGTTGGGAATCCAGGTCAGCCATTGTTTTGAAGAAGGTGATATCACTCTTTTTCTGCAAAGGGAGTGCACTCAACTTCCCTTCAGCTGCAGATCACAAAGCAACATGGCTGTGAGAGGAGGCATGTTAAGCGTGCCTTAGCCCCAGACCAGAAAGGCCCATCTTACCATTATTACACGAGGCTTGGGATGCCTGGCCTTTGCCTTTCTTCCTGTTCTGCTTTCTCTCTTCATCTCGGATTTTCCTTTCTGCTCCCTGATGGAAACAAGACAACACACAGATATTATTACCCTAGGGGAACCTCTGAGACCATCGTAATTAGCAGTGCCTTGAACTACAGCAGCTGACATATCAGAAATACTGAAACAAAAACTGGTTATTCCATTGCAGATAAATCTGTCCAGACTGTTGGAAAGGTACCAGCTTCGCATCGACTACCTGCGCCTGAAACTCAAGTTGGCACCACCAGCAGCTCCCAGGGCCGCAGACAGCAAGGGGAACATATCCACACACTGGTTTGGAGAAGCCAGGATGGACAGCTTATGCAGCGTGCAGTCTCTAGCAGGAATGATGCCACCACAACTTTTGCAAAGCCCAGTGTCTCTGCAGTGGACAGAATGCTCAGGCCAAATACTTTGTGTATGTAATGGCAAAAAACACCTTCAGCATTGTTACCATCCTAGTTCATGTCTGTTAAATGCCTTTACCTAAACTCTCCTCCATCCACTTTGTCTGGGGGTGGCATTGCTTCACTGTGACCAACTGGGCAGAGGCCTTTGAGATATGACAGTGCAAGAAGGTTGTGCTGACAGGTTGCCAACACTGCAAGGGTTTTTACAGAAAAAGACAGGCATTTCAAAGAGGGAAAAGCTCTCCAGAAACGGCAAAGCAATGTAGCACTGCCCTAACTAGGCACCAGGAAGTCCTGGGAAGTTGCAGGCTTCTGTTATGTAAATACACTCTCAACAAGTTTAAAAAATAAAATTTGTTATTGACATAAAAAGCAGCAACACCTCCTTTGAAGTTCTCCTGATTTACTTTATAAATAATACCCATCACATTGTGAAGAGTATTAAAGATCCATATGCTCCCAGACAGTCAGCATGCAAGATTACAGTTGGTTTTTTTTCCCCCAATTAAAATTGGAAGTTTCTTGAAAAGAAAAGGGGGGGAGGGAGGTAAGGAAGCCAAAAATACCCACTCTAGATGGCAAAATTCACACATGAGCCAATGAACCAAGCTTGAAAAGAATGCAAGGAAAGATGTACTCCTGGTTGTGATCTACCAATAGATTTCCAGAGGCTGAAATAGATGGAGGAAGAAACAGCTCTTTAAAAAAAACATGAAGGTGTCAAACAGAAACATTGTCTCCAGACTCAGGTCCCAATCCAGTTGTCACTGACCTCAACTGCAGACACCAAGGGATTCTGAATTATGCCCTCATCGAAATTGTTTCTAGGGGTACATTTGTATCATTAAAGGCTACTTGTTCTTTGTAAGAAAGGAGCATAGAGCTTTCTTCTCCCTAAAGCTGAAGATTAATAGGGAATTGGAATTGCTCAATACTCTATGATAATCCATGTTCTCTGTGATGATATGCACTGAAGAGAAGGAGGCAGGAACTGCATATATTCTAAAGAACATGTAGTTTCTCAGATTAAAGAAAAGTGGATTCATTTATTTTACTTTGGAACAATGCTATGGTATTTGCCAAGTCAAATGGTCCTGTTTCTTTTCAGCAAATCTAATCACATAAAGAAAATCAAAATAGCTCTGAAGCCCAAGTTCCTTCATACACAGTGGCTAAAGCATCTTGCAACATATAAATATAAATAGGTCTGGTAGCAAATTTCCCTGACAACCTATTTAAGGAATAAAAGTTATATGTTCTTATCATAATGCAGCATCAGTGATCTGCATAGGATAAAAAGACTGCAAGGGCAGAGAGAATTAGCACTGAGAAAACGAGATGTGCACTGTAACAGATGCTTTGAAGATTGCCTATGGAAAACAAACACAGACAGAAGACTGGAGGATGAATAGAGAGTAAGGACACAATGACAACCTCTGAAGCATTTATCTCCATACATTTATGTCACAAAGCACACTTTGGATGTGAGTTGGCGTTACTCTCTAATTTATATATGTAAATTAGTATTACAACTAAGCAATTGCCCGAGTAAATACTAAAGTACATGTATTATATAACACTTAGCTAAATGCAGTTTTATTTCTTCAGAGATAATTCTTTCCACAACAGCTACTCTGTATTTCAGTTACAAGACATTAATTTATTTACTGTGCAGTTCCAGTGATCCAGATGACTGTAATAAATCAGGCACTTTTCTCATCAGCTTCTCTTTGAGGCTGTCAGATTGGGGCATAACAGTGAAGTCCATGCTTTTAAAATTTATAAAAATTACTATGTGTTTGCTGGGTTTTTTTAAATGGTCCCAATGGTCCCCAATAATACCTCTTTAACTGACCATGACAAAGAGGTGGGCAATAACCACCTCAGCTTCATAGCCTTTCCCAAAGTGGCAGAAAGCCCTGTTCATGTCCCTGGAGGGTGAGCTGCAGGCTGACAAGAGAAGCTGAACCATTTAGCACCCCCTTAACAAGCACCAGGGTTTTATTTTCACATATTTGAAAGATAAGGATACCAAGAGGAACCAGCTACCTTCTTCTGAGCACCATGAACTCTCCAGCACTACTAGCTAAATGGAAAATTTCCAACCATTTGTTTACTCAGGAAAGTCCTGTGACAAAGGGATATTGGTAAAGATCTGACAGGATAAGTTAGGGGAGAAGCAAGCCTCAGTCTCCTTCCAAGTGCACATGAACTGTCATGGGAATTGACCTCAATAATTTTTGTTCCCTCAACTTATTTTCACATCTGCATTAAGTTAAAAAGCAGTATGTGTATGTATACATTTATATTAAACAGATATATATCCCATTATCGATACTCTTGAGCCCTTCAGTTCCCACTTCCAATACAATTTTGATGCGTGTAACACTTTTACAACCCTCTGATCTTCTACTTTGAGACAGTTTTGATTATTAGACTCAACATTAATTTCCTGCTTTCTAGTCTGGATATTTGAAGCACCAATTAAGCCAATAGATGCAACGAACATGTATTATTCAAAATCTCCACCAGTTGTACCTACAGGTCACCCTTGATGAGTTTATGCTCTGAGTTTCCTTCCTTTTTTTAAATAATTCAATTTTTTCTAATTGCTCTTCAAAAACAAGTAGATGAAAATGACTTGTTCCTTTGATATTTACCAAGCTTTTAACATCCAGCTGTAGCTTCAAATCTCTAAATATTTGACATTCAAAGTTACAATTAAAAGCATAGCATTTTGACTGCAAGACCTCAGTGCATACATTTACATTCATTACTTCCAAAGATTTTGCTCCACCAACACAGCTGACTGATTAGCCCTCAAGATCCCGTTGTCAAGACTTGCAACAAGGGAATGAACCGAAAAGGGGGAAGGAGCAGCAACAGAAAGTCCTGGAACAATTGAACTCTTACCCTTTCCATTAAAAAGTTAATGTTACATATTGCCTGGAGCATGGCCTTTGTCTTTCTATTCCCACCTGTAAGATGGCAAGACTAATTTGGATAAACTTTCAAGTCACTTAAATAGATGTAGACTCTTGAATCCCTGAACCTTGACTGGAATTCAGGCATCAGCTCCCCCATGGAAAATCTTTCTCAGGAGGGATAAAGTCATCAGCTGGCAGATGTTAAACACAATCGAAAAGTGGTCACAGTCTCTTCTAAGAATTATCACTGACATAACATTTCTGAGCAACTGTTTCTACTTGATGATATATACAGCTGACCATGACATTGGCTAAGCCATTAAGGCATGATCCATGTTTGGGAGCTGAAAAACCTTACCAGTTCCCACAAAGGAGCAGTCAAATGTACTGTAAAAGAACAAAATTTTGCAAAAGAGGGAGTGAGCACACACAAAAAATTAGTTACTGAACTACAAAATGGGAAAGGCTAATCTATTTTTGCAGTTTACTTTTAATAAAAAAATCCTAGCAATATGGAGGTCTCATTGAAGCTTCCAAAATCAGGGACTGTAATCAAGGGAGATGGGAAATCCATCAGCTGCATCACTGGGACTTGGTGTTTTCCACTGCATCAGAAGAGAGCTTAACAGACCTTTACTGAAAGGTGCATTTCTCTGTCAGAGCATCTCCACAAAGTGTACATGCTACCTATCCTGGCTGTTAGAGCCAGGAGGGACAACCTCAGCAGACTGGCATTGCGTGAGCCTATCATCAGCACTGACCTTCCCAGCAGAGATCTTCACATTTGCACTTTCTCTCATTTTTTTTGATATTCCAGAATCATGACCTAAAACAAAATGCCCTTTAAAAGTCCAACTATTCCTCACCAGCTGAGGAATCAGGGCCAAAAAGGCTGCAAAGCAGTAAAATAATTACATAATAATCTGCTAGATTTGTGACATAGCTTGTCCAAATGCTACCATTAAACACAATTCTCTAGGGAAAAACATTTAATTAGGTCTAAAATACAGTAATAATAAATTGTCTAACAAGGATCCTTGTCTATCCACGGTAACTGTGCTTTCCACTTACCTTGTCACAAAAGACCTTGATCTGGCAATAGGCTCTGTGGATGGGTTTATTGCTGCGGTTGTTGTAGCTGTACGTATCAATCTGAATCATCAAAGGAAGCCCTTTTACTCCTTTTTGTGAGGAGAAGTCTGTGCTCAAGCAATTCACTGTGATGAAAATCTGTGTGCCAGAGAGATTACTTTTAAAATGTGGTACAAACAGTGATTAAACTTCCAGAGACACATGAAAACAAACGGGAAAATAAAAGCAGATACACCACCCTACTCACCCCCCAAAAAACCCAACAGTTATTAATTCAACTATGATGCATGCTCTGGCAATATACACATTTATTCACGACTTCTGTCCTAAATCCAACAAAGGTGCTCCCATGCTGTGAAGAAGGAGAAAATTTTAAGGCATGTATCGGCACTTCAGTTTGGATCAGAAGCTCACATTTGAGTTGAATCATTTGGTTGTCCCAACTTACCATGCTTTAGTTCACACCAGAGAGCTCAGAGTACACGAGCTGGATTCTTTTCGGAAGAGCCACACCAGAAGATGTGTCCTAGGAGCACTCCTCAGTTGCTCCAGCTGCTAAAGGTTGCTCAGTCCACGGGAATTGACTAAAGATAATCTAAAATGTTCCAAAATTGTGCCTCTCAGGGATGTCAGGTCTTTAGCTGTGACTTGCTTCATTCTAGAAACCTGCCCTGTATGTTTGCACTATTTGCTAATACAGATCATCTTGCTTTGTCCTTTCCAGCTGCCTTCAGTCTGGCTTGTTCTTCTGACAGCTCACAATTCAAATTCAGTGGGGCAATGATAAGCCCTACCCTTTTTTTTTATTTTACAAATTTTCTTGATCTTCACTTCAAGGGTCCTTCATTGTCTTCCTTTAATTTCAAAAATGCATCTCATCCTGTCTTTCAAACTGGGAAGCTCAAACATTTATAAAACTACTCCCTACCCCTCCTCAAAAGTCCTCTTTGTCATGTAGCAACTACTTAAATAGGCAATGCATTCCATTCCTGGCGAGCCCCCTGCTTGTCTGCGCTTCAGAAATCCACCTCCTGCTCCTCTTCTACAACCACTTATGTCAGTTGATAGCCACTAGTCATCTCCTGCTCTCTAACTCCATTGGTACCATGGGACAAAGTGTGTCTCATCTGCCATGTCTGTACAGGACCTGGAAGAGGGATCTCCTACCACCAGTCTTGCAAGGACTATTCTGATGAACAGCAAGAATTGTGAACTGAAATACCATTGATAGCTTTCAGTCAGGATACCATGAATGAAGGAATATATGCATTACATAGTAATTTGGGACAATTATGCACTGACCTGATTCTACTTCTAATTTTTCCTCAGTTTAAAAATCAAAAACAAACCACCAAACAAACAAAACCCCCAAACTGTGAACTAGGGAAAAGTACAAAGAAAACACCAGTATCTCCTGAAACAAGAGGATGTGAAACCTGACACTCAGGAAGGAAGAGATCTCAAACAGGTCTCTCAAACAGACCTGATGCACACCTTGCTGGGCAGAGGAGGGAGCAGCAGGCCCATGGTCCAGGAGGTTTCAGGAAGGAAGAGCATGAAGGAACCCCTCCCTAATCCACAAACAGGGAAAATAAACCAACTGTGTGGCTGTTCAGAATGCAACATCCCTAAGAAAGGCGGCTGAGAATAAAGAAGGGCTCCCAGGGCTGGTGGGGCACACTTCACCCTCATGGTAGAAGTTAACATTACAGTCACGGTCTTTATGATGGAGCCAGCTTGTTTGCCTGACTGAGCTAATGGCCCCTCCACTTTCTGCTTCTGATTCTATCACAGAACTGCATTTACAAATGAAATAGTTGAACTTTAACTGCGGGAAGAGGAGGGAGGCGGGGAAGGGCCCTAGGTGAAACTCTGATTTTGAAGCTGATAGTGTTCTTTCTGTTTCAAATTACAAGCTGGTCTCTCCTCCTGCTCCAAAGGTAAGTGTAGATACGGGCGCATACGCCTTTGAAATATGACAGCCTCAATTTCATTTGCCTTCAGACTCCTTTACAGTGTCAGGGCAACAGTTTTAAGTGTGTGTGAACATTTAGGAGTGGAATGAGGTCTGGCATAAAACAGAAATCTGGTCTGTACTTTAGCTCATACTTCTGCACAGGGATTTTCCAAACCGTAAGTTGAAATGTGAGAGGGAATATGCAGGTTTTGCATCTACTCAGCAGTTTGTGCATCTGCAACATTTGCTGCACGTTTAGCTGAGAAGTAAAAAAAGATCTTGTCCCACCCTAATCAACTACATACACTGTGTGTCATCTCTTTCACTGCCTCCACAATCACGGAGCAGAGTAGGAGCGGCTGGGGAACACAGAATTTATCATTTCAAGAGTCCCTATACAGCAATAACAGATTATTCAGTATGAATAATAGATATGTGCTGTAAGACTCAATGTCTTGTCCTGACACTGTAATACATCAGCATCTCTCTGAGGAGCAATGACTGTACGTTCACGTACATGAAGTGTACTATACTTTCTGTCTTATCATCTGCACCTCGCAGACAGACAGATGGGTTCCAATTAACATAGATCATTCATTTGGGGAAAATTTTCTGTCTCCACACAATATTCTATTATTTTTTTCCCTGTGAAGCACAACACTGACTTTGGATTTGGAAAATAAGAGGAGTGTGCAGGTGTCTTTTTTTTTTTTTTTTTTTGCACGACTAAGGATTCACACCAGTTTTAATACAGTGGTGCAGCGGGCTGCTATGGTGAACAGGACCTGGGGAAACACCTGGACAGTTCCCTTCTCTATCCCCTGCTCTGACCAGAAACCATCTCCACAAAGCAGTGACCTGCTCTGAGCAGCAATGATTTCAATCACCTGTCCAAGCACAGCCTGCTTTGCCCTTTACAACCCTCATCTTCCTCTCTCTCAGCTCCCGTCTGTAACACAGGTATTCCCACTCTCAATGAGACAAAGGGCAAAACAACCCTATTTTCAGACATGAAAAGAAAAAGCACTGCTCCTCTTCTCCTGGCAGATACCCAGGTTTAAGATCCTCCTTGCTGAGGTCTCTTACATAGTAAAGTTAACATGGTTAGAGTTAAGTAGAAATGCCAGTGGCAGAGTAGAAATCAGTCTCCCTCCCCAGCTCTGTCTACACTTGTCTTAGAACTCTATTAATAAAAGTGACTATAATTGTCTATCTGAATTCATTTACAAACTTCTTTTTCTCCTGTGCAAACTGGATTTTAACAATGTTTTGCTATCAATTGGGTTGTCGTTATAGTGATGTCTTTTTTTTTAGTATCAGTATATCTCAGATTACAGCAATTAATGGCAGAGTTCCACCCATCTAGTCTCCAGCTCAGGCATGCCGTTGGCAATGAAATACTAATTTGGAGAAACATTCAGTGCTGAGAAAGTTTCAAAAGTGGCCTAAAACAACGACAACTCTTCTGTTGGATATACAGCATGTCTAGAAAAAGCACTCCCTCTTTCGGGAAAGGCACTCCTCCATGGTGTAGCTGCTATTATGTGAATTACTGACTGTTTGTTAAATACTGCAGCATAATTAGGGATGTACAAGACACAAACGCAGTAAGCTGCCTTAAGAGAAAACAAGGCTCAGAAGTGTATTTCCCTTTTTATCATTTAATTCAGCCAACATGACTCCTGCTGTGATCTCTCAGCTTATCCACCTTAAAGGTCTACAGTTACGAAACTTTTAATATAAGCCTTTCATTACTATTTACATTTCTGGCTCCCATTGTCTCAGAAAGAGCCAGGGGCAGAAGGGAGGGAAGAGTGTGTTATGGCACAAAATCAGAAACTTACAGCAATTTCTCTACTGAATACTGGTAACACATAGAACCTACACCTGGGTGATGGGTCTTTTTAAAACCCTGGTTTTAAAAAGTTCATCCCTCCAGACAGTAACAACAAAGAGTTAAATGACTTGTCTCTCAAATGACTAACATCAATCCCATCATTCCTCCTATACACAAAAAGTGTGGGTTTATAGTTTCTCCTGCCAGCCGTTACCTTATAAATCCCACACAAAGGTAAAACCTTTGTTTTACTTCAATACAAATGTCTCCAGCAAATGTTTACACTACTCTTTTGAAGCTTCCTCAACCCACACCACACCCCGGCAACTACATAAAAATGCCATTTGCCTTGAATCCCAGATGCATACTTACCAAGCCATTTGTATACACTGGATTTCAACATTATGTGCTACCAGAGGTTAACTCTTCTTTAATATATACACGTGGGTGTGCATGTCTCACACATATATATATTTTTATATATATATATATACGCACACTTGCACAGACAGACATGGATTATTAAGTAGTTGCCAGATCTAATCCTACATAATTTCTGGTACTAACTCCCTAAAACAAAGCCTCTTTTTCTTTAACCTTTAAATTTTGAGAGTGGAGAAAATGTTAATTTCCTTCCTAATTAAATTAAATTTGATGGAACTTAAGAAGGAAATTTGTGATTATGAACAAAATAATTCTTATACTAGTCAAAGCCTGTCCTAAGTATCACTAGCAATGTTAAAGAACTATGGATTGCCACAATACAAATCACTACTAGAGACACTATAAGCCAGATTTTACCATTGTGCCCACTGGAACTGGATCTCACTTTGGCCCACAATATCCAAGAAACTAATCCTGCAAATCACTCACTCTTTGAAAACAGCTTATTAGTGTACGGGCTATGCCAAAACTCATTAAATAACTGGAAAGGTTCCCAGAGGCTTCAGCATGCTTTGGATTAAAGATCTACATTTCAGTTAAATATAGCAGGACAATGATTGCACGCAAGTATACACAACAACTGCCGAGTGCACAACTCCTGCGCACACCTAAGAGCATATGCCAGCATCTGCCTCAACTACATATCCACTAACATCTCTTTACCACACGTCCAAGTTGCGGTGCTCAGCAGAAATCAGTAACCTCTTGGTATCACTGAAAATTATTTTTTGTGACATTTTTCTTTAGCAACTGCTCACTGAACTCACATCTTTGAATTTAAGGTTAAAAAGCATTTTCCATAAAAATATGCAATTAACATATTGTTTCAGAATTAACACCATCCTCACCATTTTAAATTAGCAAATTACCAATCACAGAGAAGGCATATCTCAAGGAATTGGTACAGTTTATGACAAATATATTCTCCTTTGACCAGGAGAATTCTGATTCATAATTATGTTTCTTGCAAACTAACTTCTGACAGCAATTAGGCTATAAGCAGACAGATGACTGTCTATTAAAAATGAAACTGAACTCTGTTCAAAAGCCTCCACTAGAATATTGTCTACCAGTCAGATGGTGCAAAAAAAATCTTCTATGGGGCAACAGCAAGGCAACTACCTATCATCTAGCATATTATAAATAGACGTTTTAAAGTCAGCCAGTTCTTGTTAATTGTTGTTCCCTTCCTCATCTTTTTGAAAAGAACTCCTTTAAAAATACCAAACATAGCATTCAGGTTCAACCAAAGGGAGCTGACAGATCACCTTGCCCATAAATGTTGCATATTTATACACAGAATTAAATATAGGAGAGAAACAAAGATGGATTGTACAAAACTGTTCTTCTCTTCCTACCTCTGTTCCCTTACAGTACAGTATTTTTGTCTTAAGGAAGCATAAGGTAGGGTTTGACATGGCTACAGTTTTCCCCTTATTTTCCTGTACCCTGCTCTGAACCACAAGCTCCACAGCGACCTCTAGACAAGGGCCCCAACAGAAAAGGATGTTGTTCTAGAAGGTAAGGATACACCAGGACAAACTCTGCTCTGCCAGAAGGCAAGGGGACTGCTGTCAACCAGATACAGCAGAATGGTGTTTCTCACTTTGGTGATGTTTCCTTAGTCCACACAAAGCAATAGTGAGCCTATTCCACAGCTTGACATGTGTTGTACAAGATTCCCTTTCCCTTATCTTGTTCTGCCAAGCAGCAGCTGAAGACAAGGCACTCAGCATGGGGAGCTGGAGCCAACAGCTCAGTTCCAATCACAGTTACTGGGGTAATGGAGGGAGGCCTCTCTGCCTCTGAACTCCTGATTCTTCCCCGTAAGACCCACATGAGATGCTGCCTCATCAACCCTTAACAGGCTCACTGTTAGCAGGCAGACTCTGGCTGTCACACCCATGCTCTTATACCCTCATCCTGAAGGGCTTGGAGAAGGAGGGCCTGCTCTGCTCGTGCGTGGGAGGAGAAATCTGGCTTTAAATGAGGAGAAATACAGCTTTAAATCAGCTGCTCTCCAGGTGGAGTAGGAAAGTGAGAAATCTGATGTTCCAGATAGGTCTTGGATGCAAGATTTAGTCTCCCAGGAGAGTTAGGCAGGCATATTTGGATATGTGATTTCTGCTGCTTTTGCTTGATTTTCCAGATCACTCCCCTGTGCACTTTGAATGACAACTCCATTTTCTTTGTTTCTTCCCAGGACAGTAGAGTACTTCATCACATCCCACCTCAGAGGCCCTGCAAAGAATTGCTCTGCACTACTCTTGTCTGACTCCAAAGAGAAAAGCTGTTGTGCCTCTGAGTGGGTTAAGTTTTAGTCTTGAAATAGTGGTGGAAAAGAGAAAACAACACTGAGCAGAAACAATGGAGCCAGTTGAAAGATCATCATTCAAAAGGCTTAGGAAAAGAGTCTGTAATTATGCCCTGAAATTCTTCATCTCTCTTGGATGAGGTAATTGCTGGAGAAGAAACAGCCTTCAGTGACGTGCCTCAGAGTTCACAGCTTTCCAACACCACAAGGGCATCCTATGGGAATCCCCAGACCCAGTGCAACTGGTTATTGTATTAGACTCTCCTACAGGAGGAATAAGCAAGCAGGAACATGTACACGCGTGGGGAGGGAGACACTTTAGTGCGGGTAAGGTGATAACCTTTCACATACAGCCTGATTCATGCTTCATAGCCCAACACCAAAGCATGTCATGAAGCCTCTTACTTTTACCAATACACTTGCAGCTCTCTTAAACTGCATAAGCTCTTAAAAGATCAGATATTTGTTAACTATCTCCCAAAATAAATATGCATAAGCCAATTTGCATGTTAATAACTACTTCCCACAGAAATACAAGTGGCTTAAATTTCACTCCTGACAGTTTTTTAGTCCAGTAACAGTAAGAGAGTCTTTATTTAAAAACCTTAGTATGTTTTACTTCCAGTGACCATTGCGAGAGTTGTGTTCTTCATGTTCTGGCAGCCAAGGCAAGAGCGATGTGAATGGCATGAGATTAGAACAAAATGTCCCAAGGTTATCACCTGACACTAGTGGATGTGACTTTCTTGTTTCTAGATCAATAGATCTAACTCTGCTAAGTCTGGCTTGCAGGTGCAAATGCAAATGTGCAAAAGAACTGCCAGCCCTGGCAGTGGGAATGGTAGATGCCAGTGGGACAAGACTGCCATGCTCTAGCCCTGGTAGCATTTCTGTAAAGGTCCTTGAGAAAGTCTTTTGTGTTGAAGATCCCAAACCTGTTATTTGCTGTATCCCCCTGCATAATGATCACACACACACAACAGTCACCTGCTGTGACTGGAGAGAACAACATACAGCTGTAGTTTGAAATGGAATCACATAATAGGGAAATACCTGGGGCCGTGACAATGTAATCATTAGATGAGTAAATATAGCTACATTAGCAACTGGGCCAAGTACAACTCTGTTTACCAAGGCCTGCTTTTGAAAGAGCTGGGTGGTTTTCAGAACTATTGTCTTTGCTTTTAAGATGTGCATCAGAGATGAAAATCCCTCTGTTACTACAAACCTCAGCACCTTCAGTCAGCGAGTCAGGACAGTGAGTCTTAACACCACCGCCCCATGCTCGATGCAATCTCTCACAGGACTCACTCACTGATACAATCTCTCTAATCCTCTGTTAGAAATGCAGTGGGGAATCATGCAAGAAGATGTCTCTGTATTTGAAAGATTCATTGCATTACTTGAACATTGGGCATTTTGTATTCAATGTGAAAATGGTATCAGGAGTTTGCCAAGCTCAACAGTGTTTGCTGTTTATTAACTAACTCTACATCCCCAAGAGTACCGCATTACCCTCACTCATTTCACACAGCCTATTTCCCTTGTTGTTTGCCTTCCGGGGGGCCAACTTCTTCTTAGAATTACCGGCAGCTTTTCACTTCTCCCACACTAGTCCATGCAGCTGAAGCACTGACAGCCTTTGTACAACCTTATCTGTAAGAAACTCGTTAAGGTGTTCTTCTGTCCTGGTTTATATATAGGTCCACTTTGCAGTCACAATCCTGAATGTAAAACCCCGTGCCTGAGGGTACTTGACCATTTAAACAAATAAAAAGTGGGGGAAAAAAGCATTAATCCTCAAAAATACATTCATTTCCAACTGCAAGGAGAGTCTGTGTAACACTGTGAAAAATAATGGCACCAACACAAGGGAAGGTATAGTCTAACTTACAGAGTATTGATTATTTGAGATATTCATAGTGTAAAAAGGAAGTTCAGAGTTTAGAGAAAGAAAATATTCACCTTGTGTCCTACACCTGACTTTGCAAATAAGAAAAAAAACTTCTACTGTTTCTCAGGCTGGGCACCTACCAGCAACCCTTCTTATATTGCAAAAAAGAGAGAAGTGGAACAGTGACTAGGGATGGATGGTACTTATATAGAGATATCATCTGCATGGCTTTTCCTCACCTTTGCCTCCTCATTGACATCCCAAGTAAAGGACACGGCATTGAATGCAATTTCTTCAATGTTCCCAATGGTATTAAAACTCTCCTTGTAATCAGCTGTAAAAAAACCAAACAAACAAAAGACCCATAAAAAAAATTGAACTTTCACAGTTCATAGTACATCTCTGCTTCTTCATCTCTAACACATCAAAACTGCCTCTTGTATTGTTTATGATTAATTATTAATTACCTTAATTGCAAAGAGATAAAACAATGCAACTTGAGTCTTATGCATAGTATATCACTGGCTGATATTCTTACAAACTATTTCTTGCTCTCGAAAAGAAGTAAGTGTGACTCGAGTGGCAATGAGTGGGTGCATTCATTATTTGGCCAAGGAATGGCCAAAACCAAAAAATTAACTAAAAAACTACTGAAGCATTTAAAGAGACTGTTCAAAACTTGACATAAATAAATAGCATTTTAGTAAATCCTAAAGAAGCTTTCTAAAAGGCTAAGAGCTATAATTGAAGGATATCATCAGTAGTGTACATTTCTTACACAGCTGTTTCAACTTTCCTAGGAATTACTGCACAAGATGCTGGACCAACATTTCTCTATTAAAACCTAAACAAACAAACAAACAACAACCAACACCAAAACAAAGACAAACTAACAAAAAACTGCAAAGAAACCAAACCACAAAGACCCTTTTTTCCAAAGTTTTTATGCTACTGAAACAGTAAACAATCTAATGTAAGGTATTTTTAAATTGTCTGACTGCAAAATCTGCACCTTCTTCTCACTTCTTCCCAAACGGCTGTTAATACTATGAGTAAGAGAGCATTTAGTAAGGAATGAAAGCAAAAGGGAAGAGAAAATTCAAAGTTGACCCAACAGCCCCCCAAAAATACTAAGGATGTAAAACCACATAAACCATACAACTCCCAAGTCTTCTTTATTATTGAAAAGAGGAACGAGCCTCCTTTTTCTCCCTGTTTGTGGGCCAGTTCACAGACTTTCTTCTTTTTGTTGACAGATTAAGAGAAGTGGCAGGTAATATCTGCTCGATTAAAGGAACTTCCAGATTGTTCATGCAAATGCATCAACTCCTCTGGGACATATACATTTCCTAAGAATCCCCCCAGGGCTGTAACTGGACTCGGTGCCAGAGGGCTGAGATTACACCCTTGATCTAATATTTGCCCAAATCTGTGCCTTAGAAGCATGCTGATTCTTAGCTTTGTAATCAGTTATGGAAAGAGGATGTTTTTGTATTCCGTAAGGCACACAAATGGTTTCAGTATTCATTGCCTTTGCTCTTCTAAACTGTTGGTCTCTAAAAAACAATTTCTACGTAATAACTGCTATAAAATCATTTATAACAAAACCATTTCTGCATGGAGGATTATTTAACATTTGAGACATGCAATCAGTATGCTTTTCTCTCATCTGAAACACAAGAATGCTGACATCTCACTGGGCAAGTGAAACTGTGTCTATGGGACACATAAATGGCTTGGGATACAATAAAAAAATCACAGTTCAAACCCTTAGAAACAGCACAAGATATTTGGTAATGTAGTAAATTAACACAGTATTTGAGAGGGCAGGCCGGCTTTTTATTCCCACCAAGAACTCAGATCTCCTTTCTAACTGAAGTCATTGGCTTCACTATCTAAATTCAGGGAGGGAATGCAAATGAGAGGAATTAGAAGGCACATAAGTAGTTTAATACGCATGTGCACACATCGACCCACCTCTAAATTTATGATTCACCAGAAAGTGTCTTGTGCAACTGACTGCTGCATATGGGCGTGCTGTGTAGGTGCACTTTGGAAAGACATGAACAAGATGTCTCATAAAGACACTTGTTTTCTTCTCCTAAAAGGCTGTCAGAACCTCGCATCCCACCAAACTTTCCCTTCCCCCCACACACGCCTCTGCTTCCTTAATTGCCATACACAAATCTCATGGAGTGTCTATGTGACATGCTGTTAAAAAGCAGAAGCGTATCCTATTCCTCTCAATTTACAGACAATTAAAGAAGGATCTTCAGTTGATTAAGAAAAAATTCACATCCAAGGATATTTGAAAGCTTTTAGAGTGACTACAATTTTTCCTCTTTTGCTTCTGTGAATTACCAGAAAGTTGGGGTTTTTCAATATGCAAGAAAATGGCTGTACAGAAATTATTTCCTCCTGTGTTACATAAACTGCATATTAAACAATGGCAAATTTTAGATGTTAAATACTAATCATGCATTACATAACTTTGTAGTAGCTTTTTTAGTTTTTTCGCATATATATATATAGTAGCTGTGCACATAAATAACACAAACTATCCCCAGAAAAAACATAGGTAAGTTTCTGGAGCAGCACACAGATTCCACAACCACTCTTCATATTTGAACCTGTTCTGCTATTTTTCAAATTATTGTACTGATTCTAAATAATCAATATTCGTTGTACCTTAGTATTGAATTATTTATTTCATGTTATTTTAAAAGAAAAAAATAGTGATCAAATGTCACAGCACTGTGGAAAAAAAAGCCGGTTTTTTTCCCCTCTTTACTCATGCTAAAAAGAGTGAGCATGCCTTCCTCCTTCTTCAGAAAAATCCATTATAGCACGCAGCCTAAATTCTAGAAAATGCCTTACCTTCTTGCTTAATAAGCATCAAGCCCTCAGGTTTATTCCTCAAGCACTAAGGAATTGCTTACATGTAAGTACAAGCTTATGCTATTAATACCAACGCATCTACAGACCCGGTACTGCATCTAATCCTTTCAACCATCCTTGCTCGCAAGAGGTGCACCAGCCAGTACACTTAACAAATTAAAGCAGTGACTGACCCCTGGGTGTCAGGAGTGAAGCAGCAGGTCATTATTTCCTCTGATCTCCAAAACGTAACTGCAGGCCAGAAGGCAGACAGACAGACCTGTGCCACTGTGGAAAGCAGCACAAGCACAGTCCCCGCCCCTATCTGAGGACTGAACAGCTGGAGTCCAGAACTAGAGCATCCCAAACTCATTTGATCTTCTGCCTGCTGAAGACCACATCACGCTCTAGATTAAAAGTGCATTCATAAACAATTAAAAAGAATTCACAGATGTTAAACATGCTACAAACATCAAGTTAAAATAATATTAAAGACTATAAAACTTTATGGAACAGGTGATACAGATTTACAGACACCTAATTCTCTGTTTTAACTACACAGGCCCTGGACACTAACTCGGTATTCCTTTACAGGACCCCTGCAAGGTCCTGAATTTTTATGTAAAGCGTTATTCAATATAATTTTGCACGGAAGGAACCCCTAGAGGTTATCTGGTTCAAGGAGGACATCAGCTTCAAATTTGGATTAAGTTTCTCATTTAGATCATTTGATGGTAAAACTGAGAGATTTTGCTAAATGTAGCTTGATACTTTCATGGGAAATGCAGTTGGGAGCTATTCTGGCCTAATAAACCAAATAGCCATAATGTAAGCACCAAAGAAAATGAAATGTACTTCAGAAATACCTTACTTGGTAAGGGCTACAGCCATATTTCAGTTGTTCTCAAGAAAACATTACTGAGCAACACCTGGGTCTTTCTTCTGAAAACTCTGAGGCGAACCATGCTCTTACAGCTCTTACATCTGACAAGGAGTGCTATATCAGTAAGTCTTACTACACTGGGCTGTGCTCGTGTTTGCAGTCCAAATAAAGAATATGCGCCAAAGTGCCTCAAAAGTCAGCACAGACCTATTTCATCTCAAACCAATGGAAAATTAAAAGACATTTGCTTTAACACAGGTAAACACACAGTTCATGTGCAGCACTTGTTTTGCAGAGCACTATTTTACAGATTATGCATCATAAGCTGACTCACTGGGGAAAGGGACTGAAATGTGCCAGGACACCACAAGTGCAATGGAGTTGGAGGGTGTTGGCAAGGCTGTGGAACAAGCTCATGAGCACATACTTTCAAAGGTATGAGCATTTAGTACTGCAAGCTTGTAGTGACTAATACAAAAAACCAGGCAGCCTTCAGAAATAGCTGTGACAGGGCACACTTGCTCTTTTAACTGTCACAATAGGAGTCATTTGGTCTGGGATGGCGATTTTACTGTCTGAACTATCCCAAAGGGCAAGAAAAGAAAAAAGGAAAAAAACCCAAAGAAGTTGTGGAAACAGTTCAGCCAGAATAATGATGATAAGAGGCAGAGAGGAGATTCGGGAGGAGCTGCTTTGACAAAGCACACTTGACCTTAAGTGGAGCTCGATGGAGGCTGCAGCATTTCAAAGGCTAAAGGCATTGTGCGAGTAGAACCACTTAGGGACTGATTCCCTGATCATCCAGTTCAATTGCCCCTGAAGTCTTGCGGTGTTCTCTACCAGTAACCTTGCTTTGTTTTCGCCCCCCCTCTCTGCCTCCTCTCATTCCTGCCATTCAATGGTTTGGTTCCCTCAGGCGGTCAAAACAAGATAGACTTTGTCTGCTTTGGTCTTGCCGGCTCCTTTGACTGGAATCCTGCAGATGGCTGCATGTGTAAACTGCATGTGGGAGGGGAGAAGCGCTTGATGTCTAGACACTGCCACTGATTCAAACTTCAGGCTCCTTGGCAGCAGGTACGTGTTCTTCCTCTGCTAAAATCTCCCAAGCATGTGGATAGGGCAGTTGTGGCTGAAACAGGCTTGTAAATACCTTAGATGGGATGAACAGTAAACAGATCTCTCAGGATAGCACATCAGCGCTCGTTTCTCCCTCAGTGCTGACACCAACAAGACTCAAAGTCTGGGGTTGTAGGAGTCCTGCACCCTCGTTTGCAGTCACCACTATGATGGCATCCTCGCTCTCAGGCTGCACTTCCACATCAATTAGCTAACACAACTGTTACTGGCTGCTATTATTACTCGATCAAAGACTGGATCTGCCTTTGAAAAACTAAAGGAAACAAACATTCCTCCACTCCTGAGGAGATGCAGACCCCTGACTTCCCAGCTGCAGAAGGTGGACCACTAAATACACATGCAAGGGGCAGCTCTTCTGTGTAACTACTGAGAACCATTCCTTCTGCGTGGTCCCTGCCCTGCTCCATAGACCCTGTTGCCCAGTCCTAGCAGGGATGAGTCATTGCTAAAAACTGCACTGTTGTGCAAGGTACCAGAGCTTTCCACATCTGAAATCTTTCCTGAAACATCTGGAGATTCTCTTACACTCACCAATGTCGAGGACCCTCTGTTTAGCCGTGTGCTGCCGGGAATGCCAGTACTTCCAGTATTTCAGCTGTTCATCTCTGTTTTTATCCTCACTAAAAACAACCATGACCACACTCTACGAAAAAAAAAAAAAAAAAAACACAAACAGAAACCATGTTAGTTAAAATTATTAGTAGTCAGAATCACAAAAATTAAAATCTCCTATACGTTTCTAATGCTGATCCATCCTCTCCTCATACTTTGGTTATAGAAGATTGCTGGGTTTTAATCCACTCCAATATTGCAATGCACCTAAAGACTCCAGGCAGAAGAAATGTAGTTGGAAAATAATGCAAGGCCAAGGATTATGTTCTTGATAGGCCAAATACAACTTAATCATATTCTTAGATTTAAGTCTAAGTTCCCTTTACTAAAATGTGGTCATTTCAAAGTGAGAGGATCCCCAGTTCCAATTCTGATCTGAGTCCAGTCAAAATGATGGAGTTCAAATTCTTTGGCACTCTGGAATATAACAATACACTGAAAGAGATGTGTTGTTATGGAGCTTCACCTCACTGGCTAAAGGTAGGACATTTTCACTTTTACCATACACAGTCAAAATACCCTTCTTGGGAGGAAGACTCTTGCATATGTGTATTTAATGACAAACTCAATGTAAGTATTTACTGAGTTTTGCTGAGGTTTTCACTTCGAGTTCTAAATTCCCTTTGTTAAACTGTGTGATTCAAAGCAAACAGATTGAAATTTTATGCAAAATTTTATACGAGCAATAAAGTTTTTTTAAAAAGCCCCGCTGTAGGCAAGCAAAACAAAAAAAATCCACAAAACAAAGAACAATCCTATCAAGTAAAACTGAAGTGAAAATAAAGCACAGAGAACAAAAAAAATCACTTTTAAATATCGTCCTTTGTTCCTGTTGTTCCTTTAACCCCAAGACACTTAGGTCCATCATCAAGATGTTTCACAAGCTGAGGAGTTGGACCACGATTGATTTATGATCTGTGTCCCTCCACACAGTCACCACCGTAACCCTTCACGTGCTCTGTGACCTTCTGCATAAAAGCTGGACACCATCACCACATCTTCCATGTCCAGCCTCTGCACGGGCACAAGGCAATATATGCCATGGACAAACCCTGAGTTATGCCTGTGCATACTGGCTGGCCATCAGTTATGTGCTGGCTGGCCAGCTGATGCACTAACCAGATCTGACCATGCCAACCAGCTTTTCCACCAAGGACAGAATTAATCTTTTTCCTCTATAAAACACTTACATGGAACTTGTAGAGGTTTAATACCTTCAAAACCTCTTGCACCTCTGTCAGGTTTGGATGGAATTGGCAACAAATTCAAGAGTCGCCTGAGTAGGGCCCTGGCAAACAGAACATGATCGTGAAAGTTGCACGTGGTTTCACAATCTTCTGTAAACTACATCCTCCAAAAGGATGTGGTCTCATCTCTCCTTTACAACTTCAACTCTTCTACTGCCACAGCTTCAAAACTCATGGGGCTGTGCACTGAACCAGGCCTGTAAGGACTGGTTTTCAGACAGACCACTGAGCTCCTGTCTCCTGTTTCAGCTCTGCAAGTGCTGGAGCTGGAACCACAAAGGGGGAAGGAACAGGTGGCAGGGAAAGAGATTTTGCAGCAACAGAGAAATCTTACATCAGCTTTAGCCAACAGTGTAACATTACAGCCTCATGTCCTCAGGAAACTAGGCTGGAAATTACCTGCTAATTCAGGTTTCCAAATCATTGCCTCTGTTTAGGACCAGTCTCTCTAAACTTTATGTATGATAGAAACATATAGGTTGTTGTCTGCTTCACTGCTCACATTGATTTTCATCAGTTCCTTTGACTAAAGTCACAACACTTTTACAGTACTTCATTTATTTGGATGGAAACACTTTTGCAGCCTCATACATATGCAGCCCTGCCAGCTCCAGGATAACATTTACAGGGCAGCAACTCTGAAGCTCATTGCTCATTCCAAGGTTACTGGGTTAGGATTTGCTAACTCAAAAACATTACCAAGGAAATCAGGAGGCCCATTCCTCAAAGTATACGCTCCTGAATACACAAGCTCCAGTCCTACCCCATGGAATTTAAGATGCAAATCATTCATTTTGTCATACTTATGGGTAAATATTAAGTGAAAGCTCAATGTAAATGATTAAGTGAAAGCTCAACGTAAATGATTTAAAATTAATGTCACAAAGGATGGAGTCAACTCTTCATATTTTATCTGAAATGCACTGGAAAGCACCTGATGAAGTGCACAAGTGAGTGAAGACGGACTACTAAGTAGATGTAGCAGTTGTTGGATTTCTTTACTTTAATCATGGCATGATAAGTTCACCAGTGTCAAGTGCAGTCTCTGTGTAATCATCATTCTGCCAAATACAGACTGAGGCAGATATGTTATAATCAACTCATAAGATCACACTGAAAATACTGGACCCAAAAATATTTCTTGCCACCATCAGTATGGTGCTCTTCCACCCTTACATTGAGCATGAGAATAAGCTTGCTCTGTTTCTCCCACAAGGAAAAAAAATACATGAAAAGTCAACCACCCACAACTACATCTATCTACACAGCTCCATTCCCACCTAGGAAAGAAATGGGACTATACCCTGACTTTGCTGATGGGATGCCGGAAACATTTGTTGTCACCCGTCTCACTCAGGGTGATGGCGTAGAACTGTCCTTTGTTCAAGTAGGTCATGGGCCCCTCCCCTTGCTTTTGACGCAGAGACTTGGTAGCTTCTAGCGTATACTGAAAAGTGCTGCTGAAAAGACAAGGAGAAAAACATCAACAAAATCCGTATCACTTTCTCCTTTTCTCTTTGTCCCCGTTTATTACGTACTTCATGCATTGCATAAGGTATAAGAAGCTAATAATAAAATTCCAGGAAAAGGTCACGTGGCCATTTAAAAGTGCAATTTTTTTTTTTCAAGTTCATCAGATCTGGCAACAAAGTGTAAAACTATATGAACTGTAAGTCTCTTGGATCAAAGACTACATCTTTACTTTCTCTGAAAAGAACCATTATGAAGTACAAGACCACTACCCCACAATGAGAGTGTTAAATACCAGGAGGGAATTCAGTATGATTAGCAGGAAATCTCCAACTCCACAGACATTTGAACTTAAAAGTGTCACAGAAACAGAAATAAATAAATAATTATTTTTTTAAAAACCCTAGCAGAATAAAACTTGTTGCAAAAGACAGATTCAGAGAATGAAAAGTCCAACTGCTACTTTCAGCACAGTGCAGGGAAGGAATTCAAGGAGAAGGGACGGTAAGTTTATTTGTTTAAAGACAACATGCAAATCAAGGTTTTTACAAGCTTTCTTTTCAAAATTAGTCAGACCTAACAAAGTGCCTACATTTAGTTGTATCCTGCAACCAAGTAACCTCCCTTTAGAGAAAGAAAAAAAATAGAGAAAAAGTTTGCTCTTGTGTTGAAATTTTAGATCTTAAAAAACACCCTCCTTCACAGAAGAACTTCCCACATTTGAAGCAGTTCTCAAATCATCAAAAGTAAAAGGTCCATTAACTAGTGAACTCTTAGCTGGAAACAGTTCTCACTGAGCCTCTTCCAGTCAACTCCTCCAGCAACAGCAGTGAACAATAATCCAATAAAAATGATGCCTGCAGCTCCTCACATTTTCTTAAATGAAAATAATGCTCACCATGCAGAAAAAAAATAATCTTTTCAATCTGCACAGGAAGCTTAATGCAAGGAGCTACTTGCAGGATGTCCTCACAAACTGGAGATGTGGAGGAACTATTTTCACAAAGGTCCTAATTCAGCAAAGTACTTCAGCAGTGTCAGAGCAGAATAAAAAGAAGGAATATATTGGTCCAAAACAAGCGTATCCTTAACTTTCTAGCAAATAATTCCAGATCATCATAGCACTGCCATAGCAATACAGAAATAAAGGGAAAATAAAAATATTTTTAACTATCCAATGGAAAGAAACCACTAAAATGTATGAATAATAATTATATTTAAACCCCCACTTGAAGAAAAGGTAGAAAAACCCCAACAGATCCACTGTATTTCCATCCAAAGCAAGAAGTTTCAGACAGTTTAGTATCAATTATTTAGTAGCAATCATTTAATCAAAGACAATTTCTAAGTGCTTCTTAGCTTATAAATGGAAATCCAGTCATTTTTCTAGTTGCTTTAAAGCAAAGCAAAAGTAAGGTAAAAAGCAAACACTCATCTATACCTATCCAACTCACTGATGGCAGAACAGGCACTTCCCAATAATGCAGTTGCTGCCAACATGAAGGCTCTCACACGCGGTGGGAAGGCGGCACTAAGGGCCCTGTGGTCCCCTCCCCTGCCATCTACTGTGGGAGTGCTGCCATGATCCCTGTCCTGTGTGCAGGGGGAAGAGAAGCACTGCTGACACTGGCAAGCAGTGTGGTCCTGTCTGAGTGGAAGGAAGAGCACAACCCCCAGTGCTGCAAACCCAGCATCCATCCTGCTGATCCTGTGGATTGACCACCCATTGGTGATAGGGGAAGAGCCTTGATTTAGTGTCACAGAAAGGCACTGCAGGTTGTGTGCTGCAAAATTGCTTTGGGACAGACACCGAGGCACGCTGAGTGCCCTGGGAGATGCCCCTCAAAACCTCCCACCAGACAGAAGGCCTAACAATGATGTGTGCTGGAAAGGGCTTAGGATGATCCAAAGTCAGACATGCTGTATCTTAACAGGGCTACCTACAGTCTGCCATGGTCTGGTCTTCTGCTTCCTGTCATTCTAGATGTTTCAGAAAGATGTCAAAAAATGTAAATCCCAGACACATCGCACTTGGCCAATTTTGCACTCTTTGTGTGGTACCACTTGCGAATTTACTTCTTGTTCCCAGCTGGCAATCAAAGTCTGCCCTATAGCAGGAGGATTACTCCCACCGCTAAAATTTATTGCAGTCACTCAAATTATTACAATATTATTCTGAACCTCAACATGAGTCTTAACTAAACCCCTGTGTAGTCAATAAGGGATCTTCTATCAGGCTTCCAATTACTTTCATATTCACCACTTCCTTTTTTCAAACTGAAGTTTTAATTTCTGAGCACCTACCACTCCCAGGAAAGACACAGTTTGTATTTCTTAATGTCCATTCAGAGGTTTTGTTCTAACGTGGACCTGGGCATGAAAAGCCTAGTGTATGAGAATTGTTAACAATACCAACGCTTCAGGATTCAACTTTACAAATACTCCATGTAGTAAGTGAGCAGTCTGCTAAATATCTGTTGCATGTGTTCTGCCTATATAACGACTCAGTTCTGAGCTCACTGCAGTAAATGATGGTTTTAATCCTCTTCAGAATAAAGATCAGGCTACAAGGAACCTTCGCCACAGACGGACTCATATGCCTAATCCAGGAAATATATGTAGGCATGTTCCTGTTTCTAAAGTGAGAGTAATCACTCAGATATAAACAGAACCATTCACAAGCAAGAAATAACGCATCAGCTTAAAAACTTCAGTGATTACAGTCTTTATCAGTTAAAGGGACTCTGCAGCGTTTGCCCACGCTACGCACACATTTTTCTGTGCTGAGGGAGAACACTGTTCTTTTCCAGCTTCAATTTTTGAAGCTGTTTAAAAATCTTTTGAGAATTCTTAAGGTTTTTTACATGATTTATAATAGATACTTTGTTTATATTGTTTTATGGGTAAACATCAAGTACCACAACAAGCAGGGTAAAAAGACAGAAAACCTACTAGGAGTAACTAGAAAAAAAACAGAAGGGAAAAATAAAGATGGGAATTACATAGGGTTGGTGGAGCCAGTTCAACCATCCTGGACATCTGTCTTCTGCATCCTGAAAGGTAGGAAAGATTTCATGACCTGGCTGTCAAGGCCAGTTTTAATCTCACATATCTCAGTGGGGCTTCTGAGGAGTTACAAATTTAAAACAATGCTGAGGGAAAGGTAATAGATGAAGATATAAACTGGCCAGATCTGAAAGCTAAGATAAGCAAGAGAACAAGGGGAGAGTGATGTCTGGCAGCATTAAGGAGCCCTGCAGGTACCTCAGGGTGAAGAAAGGGAGAGTGGGAAGTGGACAGAGATAGCCTGTCCTCAATACATGCCTGTGTGATGCCAATCAACACATTTCAAAGCTTATGCCCTACCTTGTTTGTTCATAAATATATTCTTCAGCCCCCACTGACACACTCCGATACTTCTGAAAAATAAAACCAATTAAATATAGTTTCATGCAATCAAAATGCAAATACCAAGAAAAGCATAATTATGGGGTTTTTTTAAAGAAAACTCAGAAGACACCATCAGTCATTTAAAGCCTAAAATACCTAAAAAGTTGAGTGAATATAAATATGCTAATCACATTTTATATAAAGGTTAGAGGTTGACAGTGTCAAAAACATGCAATTTACTTACCTAACCTCAAAAAAATTTGCTTATGCTATAAACGATGAATAAATTAATCACAGTTAACTAAGAATATGAAAGATATGAAAATGGTATATTTATATAATTGCTAAAATTGTATCTGAAGAACACAGCAAGTGATTGACCGAAGTGTCTCCTACCACAGGGATCTATTAAACCTCAGCACTCCTTCGATACAACAAAACTAAGTCACTCCATAAATGCTTTGAAACAATTTCTAAATATGTATTCATAATGTGTTTTAAAACAGTATGAATTAGAGCAATTCCAAACTCAGTCATTCTCAGCAGCACTCAGGATGTACTTTCCAAGCACTTAGGAAAACTAGTAAGAGCAAGCATACTCTACTTCTAAACACTAATTTAGCCCAGGTTTCTTCTGGTAAGTTTTGATATTTTATGGTCTCTCCATATCTGCTTCATAAAGCTGTCCCTACATAAACAGTGTGTGGCTGGAGAAGCAGTCAGAGCACGCATCGCAGGGATCAAGCACATCCTGGGATTTATAATAATGGCCAGTCTTCGCAAACGAAGATCCGGGGAAGGTCTTTACACCTTCCAACCTGCGCATTGGATTTTTTTTAGGTGAGACACAGTGTGCGCGGAACTGAGCCCACCCTTTAATCCTGAGGTTCATCTGCCGGGGCCAAGCGAGCTTGGATGGTGGCAGCGAGGTCCTCAGGACGTAGATGGATTGCCTTACAGGGCTAACAAGCTCCATCTGCCCAGGGAGTGGCCTCGACCGGGAATCGAACCCGGGCCTCAGCGGTGACAGCACCTAAATCCTGGGATTTAGGTAACTGAGAAACAGCAAAGGGACAGGCTCAGAGTGGAGCGAGGCTGCAGCAGGGTGGGAAAGCTGTTCCTGCTCCCTGGCCACATGCATGTGAACATTTGGGGTTAGAAGGCCACCTAACAGTTACACTGGGGGCCCAGTAAAGTCAGTTGTTCAGTCTCCTTTTTAGTTAAAAGGGGAGGTGAAGATGGAGAGGAGTGAGTGCAACTGGCAAACCATTCCACTCACTTTTGGCAAGTGGATTTGAACTGATTCTTTCTCCACAGACTGCACAGAAAGTCCAGATGACATGTACTGTATCCTGCTATTAATCAATAACTTTAAAAAGCATGTAACAAAATATTACCTTTGTAGCAAAATTAACATAACACAGAGTTCGGGATGCAAAGCCAACATACATGTAAAGTCCCTTTTTACTGTCAAATTAAACAAGTTTGCATGTTTGACATGCATTTGCTCTCTGCACAGCGCAGATGGGCTGTTTGGGAACCTCTCAGCAAGATGTCCCAGAACAAATCAGTGTAAAGGAATCACTCTGCTACAGCACCCCAGGGAAAGCCATGAGTACGGCACCACCAAGCTCGAATGAAGAGCCACTTACCAGTAACAACAACAGCTGAAAAAATTTGATTTGGTAATGCAGAGCAGTGTCTCTAATTCAAGGTTTGATCCTACTGATTTTACAATGGCAAGCTAGATTTCTTCATTAATTATTCACTTAGTTGACCTACACGTGTTCTATATCTGAAAATTGATTTCATCTCCAGACACCCTCATCTATTGCTTGTGAAGACCACGTACTTTTCTATAATACACATAAACAAACACCCAGTAAATTTCTCATATGCTCAGAGTAGCTCAGCCTTAACGTAGCTTGCCTTGCACTTTTTTTACATTTATAATTCCGTAGAGCTGGGAGGAGACAAACCCTAGGGGAGTTTTTACACCTAATATCTCTAATTATTTGCAGAGGCACTGTCAGCTTTAAACAGTTTTTACTCTTCTACATTTCCAGCTCATTTGCATTATTTTGCAGCAGGCAAAAGCAGCCTGCTAAATACCATACTAAAGCTGACTGTAAAATTACTCTGACTCAGCATAACTGTAAAATAGTCTAAGGGAGCTCGTTGTCTCTCTTCTCCTCCTCATTCCTGCACATATACATGCAGTTTTTCCTTGCCTATTATATTCTCCTCTCCTCTCTACTCATCCAATGCTACTACTTTTTCTCACTTGCCCATGTTGCAGAATAGAGCTTAGTGCAACAGACAGCTTCCGAACAAACTACTTGGGTTTATCCAGCAGCAGAGGCTGACCCTGCTCATTTGCACTTTCAAAAGAACATCTAGAATTTCCCCGTCACAAAGTGGCTGCTATTTCTTCCTGTTACAAATAGGTCTGAAGGCAGATCTCGTTAACGGTAAATAAATCTTCTTTCAGAATGGCAACTATCCTCTACTTGACAAAATATCCCGAAAGACAAAAGATCAATATCCATTATTCTCAGAATTTCCAATAAATATCTTTAAAATTGTCTTCTGAAGCACCTCATGATGCTCTCCTCTAATCAGACCACAGACTGGCAGGAACACAGCAAGGAGCAGAAATGAATTTGTTGAAACAAGCAACACTGCTCTTCTAATGGCTCTTGTGGAGAGTTCAAATCTCCTTATCTTGTTTACAAGCTCAAATATCCGTATCTTGTTTACAGCTTTTTATTGAGTTCTTAGATGGTCATTTGAGTTGAAAAACTTACTTCTGTTCCTCCATCTTTGAAGGTGTCGCTGTAGGTACTGTCAGGAGTACTGCGTTGGTCATCTTTGAGATAATTTGTGTGGGGAGCAATGTTGGACACTTCGTAGTGTTCAAAGATAACGCCTCGGTGCTCCTCATTTTCTCCTCTTGCATAGTGTGTTTGTGGGGTTATAAAAACAGGGGTAAATTCCTCTGCTTTAACAACAGTCACTCCGGTCCCCGTGATGGGCGTTGAGCTTCCAGACACATTTGTGTTGTATTCCCTTTTGGATGACTCCAAAGGATCTTGGTTCAAGGAAAGGTTAACTGGCACCGTCTTCAGGACTTGCACACGGTTCTCTCCCCCACTTAAACTATTCTGAGCTTCCGTGGTATTAAGACAATTTCTGTGAGACAAAACCAAAAAATGTTATGAACTGTCCTTACGGAGTAAATCTTCTCCTCAAGTACCTTAATGTGCTTAGATATCAGAAAAGGAGGTCTTTCAATTCTGATAAGCCACTTGCATAAGAAGTAACACATTAACTAATACTAGGCAAAAGGAATTGTGAGGCAAGCAGAGAGGTCCAGAGCTCTTTACAAGCTAGGGAAAGATGATACATTTGGTTCACCCTACAATCAGTAAGGCTTGTTACAATAAATTCTGTGTATCCAGGCTTGCTCTTGCCTTAGCTTACAATTTGGATGCAAAATCAATCCAGCAGTGCAACAGCCTTTAGACACAAAATAAGAATAAAGAGTAAGGCAAGGTATGGATTACTCACAGCAGGTAATCTGCACATAAAATAGGCAGAATATCAACAGCAAAATTTGCACACTGATGCATTCTCTTTCAGGCTGTTGACAGGCCACTACTGTTTGTGTAACTCTGGTATCACTGCTCTTCTGAAAGAGCAAGCCCAGGAATCCCATTGTAGCAGAGTAGATCAGTAACTATAGTGACTGCAAAGTAACCTCCAGCAGCATTCCCACAACTAACCTCAACTGCTGTTGAAAGCAGTTCATTTCTGATAGCTGATGCACTGACATAACATTAATAACTTGTAAAACTTTTAGTAGGTGTAACACTGCTGTTTTCAAACCAGGAGAAATGGACTGATACTGCAGTTCCTCTCTCTTGGCTTTCCACTGAAGGCCAGTTTTGTCAATCACATTCAATTTAGGAATTTCTCCGGTGTTAGCAGAAGAAAAACTCTCCCTCAAAAAACATTTCATATTCTATTTTTAAACAGTAAATTTATAGTACTATCTTTTTAAACTTTCATCTTATGCAGCTAGTGGAGACCATCTAACGCTGTCACATATTAGCTACATTAAAATAAACCTTGTGTAGCTTCTCTCCATCATTAATTTTACATGAAGATACCTTCCTGTATGTAAAAACTTAGTTCTTTCTACACAAATATACACTCTTTCTTGTCCACAAGTCTTAGTAAGGCAGGAAGCAGCTTCCCCTGACTCAAGCCACTTTTAGGCTACAGAGAAAAGCTGAAATCTGAGAGGAATGAGAAAAACATTCTAAGTGGATGATTTTAAGAGAGTTACCTTATTTTCTCGGCAGACCCTAAGTTATGTTAAATAAAACTTTATAAATCTGGTTACTTAGGCCAAACTACTCATTTTTTTGCCCTAGAAGAAGCAAACAAAGTAAAGTAGCTAACAGCCAACTGTCAATATAATCTGATTTTACTAATCTCAGGAGTAGCAAAACAACAAAACCAAACACA